GTTTTGTTTCCTTTACAATATTATACATTAAAGTATAATATTGTAAAGGAAACAAAACATTAATCAAAAAATTGTTGAAAAACAAATTACAACATTGTATTACAATCATCAACTCAAATACTTGGTTCTAATTGAACAGAAATTTCTATGAACTTGTAAGAACTGTGTAGAACATGAATCAGTCTGTGTCAGATCCTGAATTTGAAATTTCCACTGAAGTCACGGGTAAGAGACAAGTGGAACCAAGATCTAGGCCATTTGCTTTTTGAAGTTTGCAAAGACTGCTAAATTTTGCCAGTGGTAGTTCACTCTTTGCAACATAGTACGCTGTTCTAAACAGATTTTTCAGGTTTATTTTTAGTATGTTATTTGCAATCGGTGTTTGTTCTGGGAAAGATATTGCAGACTGAGCAATAATGCATTTCTTGCATTGCTCATGGGTTCTACTGGGGGCCTTTCTTAAAATGACTGGTCCCAGTAACAAAGGCGCTTGTCGACTCAGGAATCGAGAGAAAACCAACAACACACCCGGAGGAACATTATGTTATTTACACGGGTGCACATAAGTGGTCTGCATGTGCGCATTCGCTGTCAAAATAAAAGACGCGCACCAGATAAGAAGTTGCAACGCGCGTTTGCGTCCATATAAAAAGCACTGTTTTTGTCCGCTAGAGTGGGATTTTCACGGCACATTCCGCACCACATCTCTGTGCGTTCATCATTTGTTTGAAGCCAGCTCACCTCCTGCAACCACTTTTCCGAGAATACGTGCTTCTTTTGTGGTTCGGACTCCTTCTGACATTTCTTTGGAGGTGGAAGAACACCAAAGTAATTGCTTAAAGGAGCTTGCTTCTTCGACATCTTTAAGAGTTCTAAACAAATGTCTGTCCTCCTCCAGAAAATCTTATATATGCAAACACGCGTTGCAACTTCATATCTTGTGCGCGTTTTTTTTATTTTATTTTGACAGCGAATGCGCACCTGCGGACCATTTATGTGCAGCCCCGGTTATATAGCTCGTCATATTGCAGCCACAGAAATTCTTTTGTCCATGAAACCATAAAGCTGCACTTTCTTTTCGCCTTATAGTCTGATTTGTCATAACTTTTCCGTTTTGTGGTAAGCTTTTCTTTGGCTGTCACTTCTTCACCCTGACCTGTCTTATTTGGCTCAGCAGAACTGAAATATATATCCTGCTGCTTTTACACAGACACACATAACGGTCAGCGATTCTCTGCGCGATCAACCTCTCACATGTTTAAGCTTGTCATGTTTGCATAGTAAGCTAACGATTGATAAGACGATATCAGAGGAATTGGTGCGCAAATTATCATCACTCACCAATCAGTACTGTCGCTCTCTATACACAGTTCACCCGATTGCAAAGTGAAAGCAAAAAACAAGCGCAAATTCAAACGCGATTTCAATATGTCACATATTGACAGTGGCTCACCGATGCCAATGACATAATTACCCAGCTACATTTCCGAAAGAATGCAAAAACATTGACATATATTTTTCCTTCCTACCATAGCCCTACGGGCAGGGCAGAGATAGATTTTGGTAGCCCGACTGGAAAAATCGCTAGCCCCGGGACGTCGGGTTAGCGATTTTGCGAGCCCTGTATCTGATTGAGGAATCACTCATCTTTGGAAAAGAGAGTTTATTACAGAGAAATGGCTCTTTCCAAAATAAAAGCAATACTATACACTTCTTCTGGGCTATATTCTCAGCAGCATATTGTAGCGGGTCAGGGCTGTTCGGGGTTCTGTTTGTACAGTTATGTTTTGTTTATGTTGCCATAGTGACGGGTGACGCCCTCTCGATGCGATGGTGTGTTCTTCCGGGGTCAGAGGGCGCCCTGTGTGTTGCTGTTGTTGTTGCTGTGCGGTTGCCGCGCTGAGCAGTTAGCTAGCGGCAGTGTTCTTCTGCAGATGTCAATAAACGGCTGTGCTCCCTGGCTAGCTCACGGGAAGCAAGACCAAACGACACCTCCGTCTCCTCCTTGTCTGAGCTCGCCACATTGGTGTCAGAAGTGGGACGATGGTGGCACCCCATGTTCTGACCCAAGTGACTTTTCCCCCGCCGGTCGTGACCGGCCGGTGCACCAAAAGAAGGCACCTGGACATTTGCAGGACTTTGTGTGGGGTAATGGGGTCGTCGGGGACAACTGACTCCTTAGATGGGGGCTATGTAGCGGGTCAGGACTGTTCGGGGTTCTGTTTGTACAGTTATGTTTTGTTTATGTTGCCATAGTGAAGGGTGACGCCCTCTCACTGCGACGGTGCGCCCTTTGTGTTGTTGTTGCTGTGCGGTTGCCGCGCTGAGCAGTTAGCTAGCGGCAGCGTTCTTCTGCAGATGTCAATAAACGGCTGTGCTCCCTGGCTAGCTCACGGGAAGCAAGACCAAACGACACCTCCGTCTCCACCTTGTCTGAGCTCGCCACAATATTAAACATATCAGGTCCCCATAAGGAGAATCATGTGCTAACGGCTGTCTAAATGACTCGGGTAAAGTTTGAAGCATGCATGCTTGTTGTTTTTGTCTGCTTCCACTTGTCTTTGCACTAGGATGATGTCGGTGTAAATGTGCAGTCATATTCGTTGTGTTCCCACTAGTGCTGTCAGCGTTAATCTCGTTGAAATGACGTTAACGCCACAACACGGCAAATCTCCGTTTACGAGCTACCGCGGATCGCCCCGTGCGTGGGGCTAGATGGCCAACACGTTAACGAGCTAACTGCGCTAACACACTAGTTCCCATCCATGTAATTGAGCATTGCCTGGCACATCCAACATACTGTTTTACTTTAGTCCATGATGCGCTTACCTTCAGGGTCATGAGGGTGGGGGAGGTTCAATTTGCCATGTACATATGCGTACCGAACCGAAAGCACTGTATTGACCGGTTCAATATCGATACGAGTATCGTTGCACCCCTATTAAATACCACAGTCAACCTGAATGTTGTTGCTGATCATGTCCATATTTTGATGGCTGGTTCCAGGAGGGTAGCACACCTGCTCACAAAACTCAGATCATCTCAGTTTTTTGTTTAACATGACAGTGAGTTCACTGTACAGGGTGGGCCATTTATATGGATACACTGTAATAAAATGGGAATGGCCTATTGTGTTGCATTGACAATCCAACACAATGGGCAACACATTGAACACATTTTAAGTGGGCAGAAACTTGTAAATAACTCATGAAAGAATAAAGTTATGTTGAAACCAAGCACAACATTGTTTTTCTTGTGACATTACCAATAAGTTTGAGGTGTCACATGGCCCTCTTCCTATTGAAAAAACAAAAGTTGTATCCAAGATGGCCGACTTCTAAATGGCCACCATGGTCACCACCCATCTTGAGGAGTTTGCCCCCTCACATATACTAATGTGCCACAAACAGGACTTTAATATCACCAACCATTCCCATTTTATTACGGTGTATCCATATAAATGGCCCACCCTGTACTTAAATGGCCTCCACAGTCACCAGATCTTACTCTAATAGAGCTGCTTTGGGATGTGGTGGAACTGGAAATTCACATTATTGATGTGCAGATGACAAATTGTGTTATGCTGACATGGACCAAAAACCCTTGCCAAACGTTTCCAGCAACTTGTTGAATCTGTGAAACAAATAATTTAGGCAATTCTGAAGGAAAAGGGGGTTCAGTCCAATCCCGGCCTAAAATAAGTAATCTGTGACTTCCTGTGAAAATTTCTCATTTTTCAACAGTGACTATTCTTCTACTCCTGCTGCTTTCTCCATTGTAAATCTGAATCCACAGCCGTGAGTGATTACAAAATCGTGCTGAAAAAGGACTCCTTCTTTTATAATTAGAAGCTCTAATCAGCCACTGGCTCCATCAATCACTGAATCCCAGAGTCCTTTTGCAAGCTGAATGGAGGAGTATTTTTTTAACTTTTAAAAAACATTCACTTCTACCTCTGATCTTTTTGTCTCTGGTAAATTATAAAAAGTGAAAGTGTTAGTGCAGTTTTGGAAAATTTTGAAAAGTCACCGGACAAGACGTTTAAATGTAAACTTGGTCAAGTCTTCAGATGCATGTCGACAAGTAGTCATAATGATAAAACATAAGGTGAAGGGAAAGAAAATTAAATGAGCAGTGGGGCACAGTTTAAAAATGAACCTGTCTGGTTCCGATCGTTTGTCAACGTGAAGTGTGCTTCACAGCTTGTCCGCATCTTCCAACCACAAAAAAGGGACACAGCCTACTTTTACTGGCTGCTTAAACTTCATGAGTTAAGTCACAAAAGTAGATTTTTTTCTTTGTTAATGGGTTTCTTGTATGACCACATTATCATAGGGTTTTTACCTTACTATATAAAGTGCCTTGAGGTGACTGTTATTGTGATTTGATGCTACATAAATAGCACTGAACAGAATGTTGTAATTGCTGTATTTGATGACCTGTAATTGGTTTGTCAATGACATCAATGTGTTAAACTGGAAGTTTCTTACATATCTGATCAGTGTCAGGCCAGGCAGAATTTAGGCTGGTGGTCCAATGTCATACCTGCTGAGTATGACTCTTTCTTTCCCACGTCAGTAGTTCTATCAATAATTTAGAGCAGGGATGTGAAACTCATTCTACATCATGGGTCACACACAGCTCACTTTGATGTTAAGTGTCTTTCCATATTTTTTAGGTTTTTGAAGTGTGATCAATTTATTTCTGGGATTTTTTTTTTTTCTAAGATGGCAAATATTTGTTCTTGCTTGTGCACGACTACTCTGCCCTCAACTGATCCATCCATCAACATAGAGGCCAGTTTCCAGGAGGAAAGAAAACACTTAACATTTTACATCAAATGATCTTTAATTCACAGTTTCACAGGAAAACTGCTTCTTTTAGTATACGTACACGCATCTAAATAAAAAAAAAAACATTTACTTAAAAAACAAATTTAAAAATAAAAACCCAACTATTATTCATAAAAGTCACCGGTTTAAGAAGAAATATTCGAGTGGTTTATTTACTTTAGTCCAACTCTTTTTTATTTTACCAAAACAAAAATAAATGACAGTGACAGACAACAACGATCTGTGTATTTTTATTCGTTCTCATAACAGAAAGTATCTTCACATTTTTTTGCTTTATGTGGACATTACTGCCATCTTGTGGTGAAAAACCATACAGGCCAGGAGTGGAAAAAAATGGGGGTAAATCCTGCAGACCTACTGTTTGTTGTCAGAACATTAATTTCCAGGAATCATCGGTTTTGTGTACTTGAGATATCAACAGAAGGACAAAAAGAAAAACTGGCACACTCACTTAGTCGACAGATGATATTATAAAAAGACTAACATAGCAGTTTGGTCCCCGAAGAAGCATCAGTCCTGAAATGACAAAGGGAATAATCCCGTTACTGCTGAAAGGAAACAATGATTTATAAAGGAACACTTTAAAAGCCGGGGGGAGGGCAGGAATATTGGGAAATGTAATCAGGTCACGACTGATCCAAGTGTGGCACAGCTCTCATATCATCTGACCAGTTTCCTCTTCTGTAACACACTGGCTCATATGCGTGTAAGTCTTTTCATACAAATGTGAGCAACATGATTCTTAAAATAAAAGTGCAAGTCAGAGAAAAGGAATTCCTCTGAAAGACGAAAGAGTAGGTGTTCCCCTGCTGCGGGTTAGTCAGTCAGATCTGATCACAGTCTGAGCTCTTTAGCACACAAAGAGAGCTGGGTGTGTCTCATCTTGTTAAACTGCAAGTACTGGTAAGGCTGGTTATGGCTGTTCCATAGGAACCAAAGATTCGGCGGATAAGGGTTAGGGTTAGGGTTAGAGCAGAGGTGTGACAGGTTTGTTACAAGTTTAGCTGCAGGTTTATAACTACAGAGACATGTTCACACACTGAGCACTGACAGCTATGTGGAGGTGGCCTGTGTGTGTTCACTGTGCCAGCCCCGGTCATTTTAGTTACCTAAAACTAAAAACAAAAACTAGATGGGGAGAAAAGACTTTAATGAACTAAAATAAAAATTAAAAATAAACCTTTGAAAAAAATATTTTGTGAGCTTGGAAAAGGTGAATCACAAAAAAGAAATTACCTACTGTCCTAAATACATTCCTTCCAATAAAATAATAATAATAATAATAATAATAATACAAACTACACTAAAACAAGAGAATCCACCCTGGAAAATAACTTCAACTAAACCGAATTAAATACAAAAAGAAATCAAAATAAAAACTAATTAGAAAAATACGAAAACTATAACGACTTTGGCTACAAAATACTAATAATAAATACAAATAATAATAATAATAACAACAACAACAATAATAATAAAAATCAACTAAAACCACTTTGCCTGATCAGGAGATGAGGAAGTGATCCCTGAAACTAAACCGTACAGGTACACCTACCTCATCACTGCTGGAAGATTTGCCTCCATGCTTCTTCTCCTTTTTCTTTTTCTCCTTCTTCTTCTCACCATGTTCCTTGCTGTGAGACTTGTCCTTATCCTTGTCCTTATGCTTGTCCTTGTCCTTATGCTTGTCCTTGTCCTTATGCTTGTCCTTGTCCTTACTTCCAGACTTGTCCTTGTCCTTACTTCCAGACTTGTCTTTGCTGCCTTCCTAAAAATATACAAAGTTTACAATTAATAAATAGTTTTTTTTATGTCGTGATTATTGTAGTTAATCAAAAGTAAGGAAATACGAGAAAAACCGGTTTACAAGAGGAGATGTCAATTCTCGTCACCGTGTTTATGCAACTCCCATCCGTAGCGCACATTTTGTTCTGGAAAGCGAATTAAAAGTCTTACCTTGTCCTTATCTTTGTTCTTGCCCCAGGGCAAATTGAGTTCATCTTTCTGTGCTTCCTCCTTCTTTATCTCCTCGTCCTTACCCGCAGCTGCCAAAGACAAAGATGGGACAGGGTTTTAAGGACCATGTGTCCACATATCGCAATATGGAGCGCAAAACCTGTTCGCAGGTTTTGCGCGAACAAAAGCGCAAAATCTTCGAACAACAGAAGAGTGCAGCTAAAGAAAAAAAAACACGTAAAGCTGCAATATATTTTTACCTTCTGACAGATCGAAACTCATTGTGACTATTACTTATGCGCCTCTTCTCTCCGATTCCGAAACAGACTCTGTCAGCGAGCTCTCGCTGCTACTACTTTTCAGGAAATCTGGAGTGACCGACCGCACCTAAGTCACGTGTTCAACACCGCACCACGCCCCGCAAACGCAGTTCGTTCTTGCGGTGAGGTGAGAGGGAGACGTTGTGAGGTAGTGTTATATTTCTTATTTGTGCGTATTTGATACATAACCTTGCTCGCTGGCCTGTCCACCGTCCACCTGCTTCCCCCACATCAGCTGCGATAAGCTCCATCCCTCCTACCATCCTCCCGGATAGTCCCTCTCCTCTTTATTTCAAGGATGCAACAGTGTCCATGTTTTTCAAAATGACTTAAAAATTTGGATTATTCTGACTACAGAATAGTTTTCAACCCTTCCATGATCTTTTAAAGAAGAGGTAGATCATGTTCATATATGTCTTCTTCTTTGGATGATAGAGCTTTAACCTGCAATTGTGGATGGCACAGTGAACTGTGCTCACAGACAATGGTTTCTGGAAGTGGTCCTGAGCCTGTGCAGTGATTTCCATGACCTGTAGTTATGTCACATGCTATAATATTACACATCTAAAACAGAAGATGGCACCAGAGCTTCTGTAACATAAATTTTATGCAATATATTCAGACTTTCTTTCTATATATTCAGGATTCATTTGATTTATTCATTCACTATATTTGAGTTTTAATTCAATATATACAGGCTTTCATTTAATTTATTTGAGGCTAATTCCATGTATAGATACACATACATATTGGAATCTCAAATACTGTGTGACAATGGCACTGCTGCTTTCTGAAAGACATATGGCTTGTGCTGCCTTGCTCTTAACTCCATGCAGCAGCAAAAGCCATTGGGTCTGGGGGAACACCTGCGCGTGTCACAACTGTGTCCCACTGTAACATAAATTCGGGCAACCATAATTACTGGGGCACATGGTCCACATGGGTCCAAAAATGACACAGCACAACACACATTTAAAACCATATGCTCAACCTAGTAATCAGTGCAGTGCATACCGCTTTCTATGTCAAGGGGTAACAGAGGTGATCAATTGTGGTTCAGCAATTGAATGGAGTTGCTAAAGAATAAAGCAACTCCTTTTATCTTTTATAATTTGTATTTCCTGACAGTAGTTTAGAGTAGTTACATGTATAAAATATTTACATTGTAATTAACTGTAGATATAGAATTTACTGCTTATAATGAAAGCAGCCTCTAGTAGAAAGTGCTGATGCACCAAATAGTAATAATAACAGCAAACACAAACCACAAACATGAATTCATGCTCTTTTATTTCTCAAACCTTTAACCTGTTGTGATCATAAATTGACATTTCCTCCACCAATTGACAAGTTTACAACTGTCAATTGTAAACTTGTCAATTTTAAAAACACAAATCTTTTCTCTCTAATCAAGCGGTGTATTTATTTTGTAAAATTTACTCCAATGAAATCATGACCCAAGGTAACATCATTAAAGCATTCATGATTACATTTAAGTGCTTCCATTGTGATGTAGGCCAGATTTTGGCTGATAACTAAGATCTATGAAATCTTAATATTGGTAAGGTCTGGGCCCTGACAGCAGATCCTTTGAGGTGAAGTGACTAGTGGAGTGTGTCGTGCTGTCTCCAGTCTTCTTCGGGGTGCCCATCAGGCTCTCCATGTAGCTGGGACGTTTGATTACAAGGGATGGCTTGGTGGCAGCTGAAGAACTCACAGGATGCAGCTTCAAGGCGGGAGATGTAAGAGACACATTGGGAGTATCACTTGGCTTGGAGCTGGCAGAAGGTTCACCACCACCTGAGGCTGAAATGCTGGTTTTAGAGTGGCTGCTTTGCTCACCATCAAGGTGGTCCTGGAAATGAACATTAACAATCCATTTTGAACATTTTTAGATTAAAAGCTTTTTTTGTTGTTTCTATTGATTTCACTTCCCGAGGAGCCAAAACTTCGGTAAAAAAGAATAACACTAAAATTATTATTTGTCATTTTTCTTTCATATAATCTGATGATATTAGCATGTTACAGGTCATTTTACCTGTTCCTCCCTTTTCTCACTCTCCTCCTTTTTATTTTCCTTGTCGCTGTCACTACCAGAGGAGCCTGAACTGGAGCTTGAGTCCTGCTCAGAGAGGAAGCATTAGAAACTCATCAACTCACAAATATGATTACCAAAATGAGCAGAGACACATTTTTTTTCCATCACACAGAGTAGAACTACCTTCTTTTTGTCTTTCTTCTTCTTGTCTTTCTTCTTTTTCTTCTTCTTGTCATCATCACTGCTGGAAGAAGAACCCGAAGAGGAACTGGAATCCTGGGATGTAAATATGATAGTGAGGTCACACAATCATAAGACGGATAGGAACCAGAGTTTTGAAAATATACAAAGGAGGAGGAGGCAGTGAGTCCACTCTTCTTTACCTTTTTCTTGTCTTTCTTCTTCTTTTTCTTCTTATCCTTCTTCTTCTTTTTCTTCTTATCATCATCACTAGAAGAATCACTTGAGGAGCTTGATGAAGAAGAAGAATCCTGGACAAAAAACAAGGAACATATTTCATTTAGAGGAATTACAGTAGCTTATAAATAAAGTCAACCTAAAACCTTAAAGTGGATGGCCCCTCACCTTCTTTTTCTTCTTCTTCTTCTTCTTGTCCTTCTTCTTCTTCTTCTTCTTCTTCTTTTTCTAAATACGAAAAAGAAGACTCAATTTAAATTGTGCAATCTTCTATCTTTCATCATTTTGAGTGCGGCAAATGTGTTTGCAAAGACGAAAATGGCAATATTTGTAGATGTTCTTCTCACCTTGTCATCATCACTATCGGAGGAAGAAGAGGAGCTATCATCAGAAGAGCTAGAATCCTAGAAAGTGCATCAGTCAGTCAGTAACAGAAATACACGATTTTCTGTAAAATATATATTTAGACTTTTTCTAGCCACCTTCTTCTTCTTCTTCTTTGTCTGCTTCTTCTTCTTTTTCTTCTTCTTTTTCTTCTTTTCATCTTCACTATCAGAGGAAGAAGAAGAAGAAGAAGAGCTGGAATCCTGTAAAAGAGTTGAACAATTACAAGTTTAATTTATTATTATTAGTATATATTATTATTAGTAGTAGTACTGTTATTAGAGTTCTGTATGGGTAGCTGACAATCTTTTACCTTTTTCTTTTTCATTTTCTTCTTTTTGTCCTTCTCTTCCCCTCCTCCTTCATCATCACTCAGGTTGCCATCCTCAGGTACTGCCTCTACTCCCCCTGCTAGACAGGAAACATCATTGCCATCAATACCATTGCCAATGCCATCAATGCTATTTGATCTATGTAAGAGCTAGAGAAGCATACATACCAGCCAATGTAGAGGAGACTTTGCAATCGTCTGAAGTTTGAAGCTGTCATGGGAAAGGAAAGTAACTATTATATCTTTTTCTTTCTGTCATGCCTTTCTATATAAAACCAGGACGTGGTCACCATGATGTGACCACTCCTGTTTGTAGGCTCCCTAAAGCACTGAGTCAGCTGTAAACATTTAATTTTTCTCAACATGGGGAGAAACCAAGGACACTGAAAACTCCTGTGGAATCATCTTTTCAATGAAGCAACAAACTCCAGAGCAAGAAAAATTAAACAAAAAAAAAAACTGTAGGTCTTCTGTTAGCCACTTGAGGCTGATCCCAAAAACCTGTCAGCTCCATTAATCTCTCTCAAGCTTTTGTCTCTTGTGCACCGTCATCTTTAGCTATCCCGGTACTTCTTATCTAGGCTAGCAACTTGACAGCCACACAATAAATTTGCACTGAACCATTCTCAGCTTTATCATCTTTTCTGAGTCCAACAGGGCAATCATAATATATAAAAGGAACATCATGCAGTCCTTACTTAAACCTGAAACTGGCAACCGAGAAAAATTATCATGAATAAGTTTGCATCGGCTGTCGCTCTTTTGTTTGCACGTATTGAGTTTGTGCATGCAGGTGTAGTGTGAAAAGTATGCGTGAGCAAATATTTCACCTTGCCAGGAACCTTTTCATCTGGTCCTGGAATCACACCACCTACAAAAATGGAGAAAAGGCAACCAAAAGGATCAACATAATGTAAATGTTTGGCTACTGTGATTTATATTACTGTGCACAAGAGCAAGTAGAAAACACTCACCTGCTGCTGACAGAACAATATCACTCTGCTCTTCATCCTGAAAGAAGACACAGAAGCACACGCACACAGTTAAGCTAAAAAAATAAACTTCACAAACTTTCAAAATGATAAAAGCTGAGTTGTTAGGAATCATTTCCTGATAGTGAAAAGCCAGTGAGAGGGCAAATGTGTTCACTGTGGGCGGGTTATCACAGAGCAACAGGACTGATGCTTTTATTAAACACAAACACAAGTTACTTTACTTTTTTCTCATCGTCCTCCTTCTTCTTGTCCTTTTTCTTTTTCTCCTTGTCACTGTCAGAAGATGAGGATGAAGAGCTGGAATCCTGCATTAAGGAAAAGAAACATCATTCATCTTGTTGTTTAAATAAAGAAATGAAACCCCTATGGTAAGGTTTCTTCTTCATTGTTCATGCCTGGATACTGACTGTATATTTTGTAACGTCATATGAATGTAAGAGGACAACAAACATCCACATCTGTTTTACCTTTTTCTTGTCCTTCTTTTTCTTCTTCTTCTTGTCCTTTTTCTTCTTCTTCTTTTTCTTCTTCTCATCCTCACTATCAGAAGAAGAAGAAGAGGAGGAGCTATTTGAGCTGCAGTCCTGTGGAAAAATGAATATATTTAAAACAAAATATCATCAATGAACTGTGATACAGAAATAGAGAAATTAGTCAGTTGAAAATTAAGAACCTCAGGCATTACCTTCTTCTTTTTCTTCTTCTTGTCCTTTTTCTTCTTCTTTTTCTTCTTGTCATCCTCGCTGTCAGAAGAAGATGAAGAAGAGGAGCTATCTGAGCTGGAGTCCTGTGGAAAAACAAATGTATTTAAAACAAAAAAGTCTTAATGAACTTTTAAACACAAGTGAAATAGAAAGATTAGTCACTTGAAAATTAAGACGCTTGGACAATACCTTCTTCTTTTTCTTTTTCTTGTCCTTGTCCTTTTTCTTCTTCTTTTTTTTCATCTTGTCATCCTCACTGTCAGAAGAGGATGAAGAAGAAGAGCTATCAGAAGACGAGGAGCTGGAGTCCTGTGAAAGGAAAAAATATAGTTAACACACAAAAATCTCTTTAATAAATGAGTTTTAACACAGAAGTAAAATACATTATTCACTTGAAAATTAAGAAACACGGGGAATACCTTCTTCTTTTTCTTCTTCTTCTTGTCTTTTTTCTTCTTCTTTTTCTTCTTGTCATCCTCGCTATCAGAAGAAGAGGAGCTGGAGTCCTGTGAGAAAGGAATAAAAAGTATTCACATAAAATCTATTTCTGTCTGCACATTAACACAGACACATCAGGCAGACAGACACATCATAGTGATGTTCATACCTTCTTCTTCTTCTTTTTCTTCTTCTTCTTCTTGTCATCTTCACTGTCAGAAGATGAAGAAGAGCTGGATTGCTGTGAGAAAGGAATAAAAAGTATTAAGTATAAATCATTCTCTGTCTTTTTCCTCAGAGTTACATACATGTGGTGACAATGGTGAGTTTCACACCTTCTTCTTCTTTTTCTTCTTCTTCTTCTTTTCGTCCTCACTGTCAGATGATGAACTATCAGATGATGAGGAAGAAGATTCCTAGGACAGAGGACGTATAATACATATTCATTAACATAGTCTACCATACCTACCATAGTCTACCTTTGTCTCTGTCATTTGTCATTTATGGTATGTTGAAATTTGATAGTCTTATTAAACAATTAGTCGTCGTAAAATTTGCCAGTTTTGGAGGGGAAATTAAACCCACTTTCTTCTTCTTTTCCTTCTTCTTCTTCTTTTCCTTCTTCTTGTCATCCTCATCATCTGATGAGCTAAAATCCTGAGACAAATAAAAATAAAATTACAATGATAAGTTTGGAATGTTTTGATGTATTGTGCTCTGTTTTTCACACAACCGAGTGGATTGGTGGATCGGTACACAGGACCTATATGATTGATTCAAATTAAGAATTTTTTTCTCTGCTAAACATGTACGGCATGTAAATTATGGTTTGCAATACATTTCTCATGAATCTGATGAAATCCTGATGAAAAAACATGTTGGTCGATTAATAAAGCTGTTCTCTATACCACAGGTGTTACTGGAGCGTCGACCTCTTTAGCAATGCAATGTATAAAATTACAGACTTGAGTTGTTTCTCACCTGACCAAGATCGTCTGCATGTTTTATTTGGCCATTGGAACCTGGTAAGATTGAATGCAACAAAATGCAATGCATTAGTTTAATCATTCTGGAAACAAAAAGACATTTTGTTATGTAAACAGCTGGTCTACTATGATCACAGAATGTGGGGTTGCAGGATGGTTTAGGACATGTTGTTATAAAGGGGATCTAGACACAGCCCCCATTCTGGCTTTGTGAGCTGACCTCAGCACTACTCCACGATAACCCAATGAATGTTCAGTATCTGTTTGTGAACGGCAAATTAAACAAACTAGCCGTTTGATTTAATTGAAATTTCAGGTTCATCGAGCGAACGCTGCAAACCAGAAATCAAGAACAAACTGTCATCGTGAAATAGCGTAGATCACCTACCAGCCTGAGATATGACGACACTGTCGTGGATATACTCTTTCTCCTTGTCTTTTTTCTTCTTCTTTTCCTTCTCCTTTTTCTTCTTCTTCTTTTTCTTTTCATCCTGCCAGGAAACATTGAACAGCAGTTGTTTCGTAAATGCATTTTTATTTCGCGTGTATTCATGCAGTGTTGCATTTGTATTAATAAAAAAGACTCGGGAGAAGGATTCAAAATCAGACATCAAAACCAACTCACAGTATGCACATCCACGCATAACCATGCATGAGCAGTGATGCATGGAAGCATGCACACAATGGATATGTTACTGTATTCTCGTGATAAGACACATAACTTTCTCAGACACAACTCATGGGTAGCTGGATGAGATCCAAAAGATATCATTGTTAATGGGCGTGTTCCTCTCACATAGTTTGTCATTTCAGATCAGGACATTAAAGTCTATCGCCTGTTGAGAAATCATTTCTGCTGCTCTGTATACTTATTTTTGAGACCTTCTACTTCAGTAAGTTAAATAAAGTCACAATAAAGCTCATCAGTTGTTAAGTCCTATCCGAGGTGACCCACTAGGTGGTTAACTGGTTGTTGCTTTGTGTCTTTGACCTTTGTCTTTTTATCTTAAAATCATGCAATAGCAAAATAACTGGCTTTTCCTGAGTCTCCAGTCTTTACACCCACATCATGTCATCATATGACTGCAGTCATCTAAAAGTTGCAAAATTGGAAAACTAGACAAAACTGGAATTGCGAGTCATTGTGTGCTCCTTGAGTTATTTTAAGAGCTGAAATTGACAAGAGCAGGGAGAAGACTGGCGTGCTTATCTATCAGTTTGCTGAGAGACAGGATAAAAATGCAGTTTTTAGATTCAATCCACCCTAAATATTCACTGAACAGACAACATCTTTAGACAGTATCCTCACTGGAGGCAGATACATAATTAAATGGGACAATCAATCCCATGTGAGCCGATTTGAAATTGTGCTTCCAGCCAAGGACTTTGTATAGCTGCTTTTCGTAAGGATTTACATAAACAAAACTGCAAAACTCTCCAAGTGTTTGGAAGGGTATTCACATAAGCAAACATCAATTAATGACTGTAAGCAATGTTGTCATGACTAAGTCATGTAATGGCAGCACCTGGTAAATGACAGGTTAGAGCAGGCATGGAGCTGCAAGGGAGTCGTGTTTTTCTACTTGGTAATAAGCACATACAGAAGCTACATGTGAGCAAGAAAACCCTGGCTTCTCCTAAAACCTGAATCTATTAATAAAGGTGAAAATTCTAATGAAAACAGACCAGTCACATGATCACAGAAATTACACACTTATTCAGATTTATTACATTAGAATTGAAGGCTCTAGATCAGCCATCAATCATTACAACTTACTTCTGTCGAGGGTCTGCTGTTGTGTTTGACTTTGTGTCTCATGTGTCAACATACAGAGAACAAAAGCGCTCTGGACAGCCCTCACAAAACTCTTTTGGATGCCTGACCTTAGCAGGAGCTTTTAAAAAAGGCTCTCAAAGACCCATCACAGGATCTGTGGTTAGGTGTAAATGTGTGTGTCATGCATGTGGGTGTGCGGATAAAACTGCTTTGTCACTTTATCAGCAAAACTACAATTTACCAATAAACACAAAGTGCTCTGCACGGATGCATCAGCAACATTTTGGTGCACACTTTTGCTCACACTGACTAGTTAAAAATGCCCCAGTGTTACAAGTGGTGTGTGACAAACTGTGACCTCCATATCAAATAGTGGTTGGAAATAACACGAGGCATTCGGTCTGAAAGTTGAAGTGGCTGTTCGAGAAGTGTTTTTCTTCCATGGCTCCACATGTGAAGATCGCATTTATTTCGATTTCTGTTGAACAAATAATTTTCCTCTTGAAACCCTGATCAGCACATGCCAATCTGCAATTTACCTCACTATCACTGTCTGAGGAGCTACTGGAGGAAGATGAAGATGAAGAAGAGGAGGAGGAGGAGCTGGAGCTCTGTTAAGAAAAAAGGAGAATATTAGTGCTTAATTTTACGTACAGAAGTTTATGTAAACAATCTTTTGTTTATGAAACAATACATGAGAAGGAATGAGCCATGGCCAACACGCCCCAGTGAGTTTCTGTCATACGAGGGCAAGTTGTGTCTGTGACTGCATATGGGAGAGGCCCTTCAGGCACTTGGCAACACACATAAAGGAAAACTCCACAAACAAGCACACATGCACACACCTATCCCTGCTATGTCGTTAACCACTTGTGCAAAAAGCGACAGTTGAGCCACACATGGAACAAACGATTCTCTCCTGTTTGGCTGTACTCCACTCCTCTGTAAGAAGCTGTAACTCATGATTTCAGCACCACATGTGCTCCCGTCAGGACAAATCCTTAAGAAAACTGCTGAGTTAACTTAGCAGATACCAGAAAATATTTACAAACAAAAAATTCCAAATACAATCAATACCGTTTTCATCGGCAGTTCACTTTACTGAACTCTGTCACACTTACTTTCTTCTTCTTCTTTTTCACCTTCTTTTTCTTCTTTTCTTTCTTGCCGATACCCTCATCTTCGCTGTCTGGAGAGCTGTCAAGTGAATACATCTCCTGGTAAACACAAGAGAGGAGAAAGTACATGTGTTATCTTCAGTGGGGATATTGAGCCTGTGAACAGAGCTGCTTTAATTGCTTCACTGTCATTAGATAATGGAGAAGTCACAACATGTGTGCTTTGTTTCTCCTGCTCACCTCATCTCCTGTTCCTGCAGGTTTCCCGATCTGAGTCTTGTCTCCCTGCGTCTTGGCCAGCTCCGCAGGCCCTTCTATTTCAGCCGGGGGCTGCGAACCGCCAGAGGGCACCGCTGCAGGCTCGACGCCTGCAGTGTCTCCTCCACCTGCAGTTAAACAATTCAGGTGAGCAGTGTTACAAATATCTGCCTGAAAGACATCAATTTTTCTGAACGCTCAACTAATGAGTAATCTGTATATACAAACATCTGTCTTATCAGCCTATTTTTAACATGCACTTTTAATAAAATATTAAAATAAATAAAAAACACATATGACAGCATCATATGCCAGGACGTCCTTGTTATCCAACTTTCTTAAAAGGACAGCCAGGTTAAAACAAAGAAATTAAAAATCAGTCATCAACACTAAAACTGTGCCTGCATATACTTTATAGTTGGCTATAAATCAGTGAATACTCTAATAATTAACAATTTGGGGAAGTGCCACACCCCTGACAGCAGGAGAAAGGTTTAAAAAGAGCCTGCTGTCTACAAATATGAAGCGGTAGGAGTGCATCAGCTGCAATCTCCCTGCAGCGGTTATTCTGCACATTTAAAAAGGCATTATCCAAAAATAAATACATTTAATCCACACTTTTCAAACTGTAAAAGAAAAAAGAAACAAGCCAGTTAACAAATAGCAAACCTTTGAGGAGGGTGGACTCCATTTCGGTCCAGTTCTCTCCTCTGTCCAGGAGTCCAGGTCTCATCTGACAAAGCCACCTGATCACATTTATAACAAGGTGTGGGTGTGTGGAGCCCTGGGGTGGAGAAACAGGGAGAGCCAAAAGCAGAAACTTCCCCACATCAGTTTCAAAATAAAGGTCACTATAAAAGAAAGTCACCAATCAGTTCTGACTGTTATCTTTTTTTTGTACCCACTACTTATTTTTCACCACGAAAAGTTCACGGCTGTCTTTTAAGAGGATAGCTGATTATCTGATCTAATTCTCTAAATTGTATTTATTTGCCTCAGTCTTATTCAGAAAGCTGCTTACATACATTGTATTTGACTGTCACCATCTGTTTGTGTTAGTTACTTAGCTTGAAAGGCTGGTTTACCTGTGCAAACAGGTGGTGCTAGTTTTATGACTGGAATGTAGCCTGTGGGCATTATCTGCATGAATTAAAACATTTGGAAAGTGTTGCAGAAGGAGGATTACCATTGCTCTAGCAGGTCAAAGCAGGGAATTATCAAAAAAATAATAATAAATGTAACTATCCATGATTCCAAAATGTAGGAATAGGTTTAGGGGAATAAAGCTCTTTGCCTTTAATGTGGAGCATTAAAGGAAAAAATAGAAAGAGAGAGAGAAGTGATTTAATCATGTTGCTGCTATGTCGCCTCCTAGAGGAGGATCATGGTTAACTTAAAACCACAACATTCTGCTAAGCAGGGGTGTTCCTGGGCCACATACAATCTTTTTGATCTGGAGTGAGAAAAATAAAAATAAACTGAGAAACTTTATTTAAAAAGGAAGGATTTGTGTTATTAAAATTTTATTAAAGTGCAACAAAGTGCATTCTGAAGATGTTTAAATGCTTAGAAAAACTAAAACCATGAGTCCAAATGCAATTTGCCCCATTCAAAGTTTTGCCAAATGCTAGAATGCAGTAAAATGCAATAGTGCTTTCCGAAAGTCTTTCAAAGGTTTTTTTCCCACCCATTTTCAGTCCAGTTCTTGTACAGACCCTTTTTAGAAGTTTCTTTTTAAACCCACTTAACGCTGAGCTGTGAATTATTCAAGCATAAAAAATGTACCTGAGCATTTAATGCCCTTCAAGAGGCCCGGAGAAGAATAGGCAATGTAAGAAATGACAAGAAAGCTTGGCTAAGAGAGTTCAGGCTGTTGTAAAGAATAAAAGTGTTCATCTTAAATATTGACTTTCATATATGTTATTATCATACAAAGTCTTTTTGCCTTATATACTTTTTTCCATGCATATTTGCACATCTTCAATAAACCAATAAAGTGAGACGTGGCTCAGAGAACTGTAAGGACTTTACTGCAATTTTCACACTTTGCAGTTAGTCAGCGGGACAACACAGGCCCTTTCACTGGTCCCCGAGCCGCGTGTTTGATACCTCTGAATCTGTTTCTTCGTCGCTTCCGTAGTACAACTGGTCAGTGAAGTTAGCTAAAAAGGCTACAGGCTTGAGATCCGGAAATGGGGGCTTAAATAAGAGCGAAATGAAGTCCCACAATACCACTTGAAGATTAAAAAATAATAATCAAAATGCATTTTAAATATATATATATATATATATATATATATATATATATATATATATATATATATATATATATATATATATTTATTTATATTTATTTATTTATTTATTTTTAATTCCTCTTGAATACAACTAATATGTGGAAAGAGAAGCAACTTTAGGTAAGGTCAACGGTCAACGGAAGACAGCAGGTTTATTTTGAAATTTATCCGGAAGAAGTTACGGCGTGTAGCTGTATCTTAGGTTGTATACCAAACTCTGGCGAAGGATAGAAATACGCTTTCTTTTATTTACGTTTTTTGTGTTTTAAATCACGAGTTTGTCAGTCTAGTTTAACTTCATAATGTAGAGGAGCTAGCTAACGCTCGTTTGCTAGCGGAAAGCCGGCACAGAGGGACGGTTACTTTGTTGACCCTCATCCGCACGTCTTACCGCTCTTTGGTCATGTTTCTGTACCCAACACATTTTCTGTTTTGGGGCATTTTAAAGGGTCACTTCTTCGGCCACTCTGTACGTGGAGGACCTACGGTGCGCTATGGCTTCTAGCTAAACTCGACTGACTGGTCGTCGTCATGCCGAGAGAAGCGACGTCCGCTCCGCTGACGGTGACTGTGCTGGCAGTGCTGTGGGTCAGTGTGGGTCGGTGCCATGTCTTCGGATCTCTGGGGCAAGGATGTGATAATGGAAAGGTAACAGTCTCACTACCTGTGTGTGTCTGCTGGTGTAAATAAAATCCATGTTTTAAGTCATATGGTTTATAACCTAGTATTGGTGATTAAAATGCACTTATTTTACGTGTGTGTGTGTGTGTGTGTGTGTGTGTGTGTGTGTGTGTGTGTGTGAGATAGCTCTCTTTGGAGAGGGACCTGCCTGCGGATGCTGTTTATTGGGACTGTGCTGCGTCTGCATGGCCAGAGTTTACTCAGGTAAACATGGAAATTCATACACCTTAGTCTAACAAATTACCACCATAATCACTGTGGCTCATATGGGAGGGGTGTGGTGCACTTACACCGGTTGCCAGGAAATGCAAACAATCATATGAATGAGACTGTTGTGATAAACCCTGCACACACAGCAAATGAGCTGTGTGTGCAAATTCGACCCACTTCGAATCACCTTGCGGCTTCACACTGTTACATATGTAACAGTGTGTAGTTAGTTGTTGGGGTTGCTTTGTTCCCAGATTACAAGTGTTCCTTCTAATTCCTCTTTTCAGAGACTTCCGAGTATTGACACAGCGTACAATCCTGAGGTGAGTAAACACCAGGCAGTTTACTTAAGAATCTCATATCTGGACTTTTTACGCAACCTTTGGCCCTCTAAACATAAAGCATGACTTGGTTATCTCCTAAAATCAAAGTGCAACTGGATAACACTTCAAACAAGTCCCATTCACAGTTCACTAAATTTGAACCCAATTCATTCTTTTATTTTCTTAACCATTTTTTCCTCATGTACTGTCCTGAGGGAGCTGAAGCCTCTCGCAGCTGACATTTGAAACCAGTACATGTATTAGCTCAAAAGCTTTACCAAGCAAGTGTGTTAGTTGCAACAAGATTCAGTTTGAGTTAACCAAACCAGCTTTTTTGCTTAGTAAAAGTAATTTGTGTGAAATTTACTAGAAGCTAACTAAGTGTTTGTCTTGTGTGCTTGATGTTTTCATTTCAGCCAGCTAGGCAGATATGCATGGATAAATCTATCTCCTACTATCACCGCATTCCTAACAGGTGAGTGTACAGGTTGATGAGTAAGTTCACTAGAGCTGCAGAATACCTTACTGGATGGCCATACAATTATTTCTGTTTTTACAAAGAGCTGACAGATACACAAGCTTAGTATTGTTACAAAAAGCATTGTTTTACTACATTAAAGCAAGCAACACACTGGTCACTTTATGTGGTACACATTGGTAATACCGAGTTTGACCTCTTTTGGCTTCAGAACTACCTTAATTCTCTAGAATGGTGTAGATTCAACAAGGTGCTGCACACGTTCCTCAGTATTTGGTCCATATAGACATGATAGCATCACACAGTTGCTATAGATTTTTCAACTGAACATCAGTGTGTTGGCTCTCTTGTTCCAACACTGTATTTTTTCATCTGTAGGCATGAAAAGATCAAGAAAAATATTGAAGAAAAAAATCCTGATTGAGGTTGTCATAATTCATGCATGACAGGGTTAAATAACAATAATTACAATGAAACATGTCATACATATATAGTAACATTAAACGACCAGTGGGTGGCAGGGTATGGAGTGACACATCAGTGTCCAATGTAGTGGTTTATGTGCAATTATACCATCAACACTGACACAAATACAAGTAAACAGCCTTTGAAAGGTGTCCACTAGTGACCACTATGCGTGAAAGGGTTAAGGCTTTTGAAGACATTAACCTGTGTTTCTGTGTCGGTGTTTGTGTTGCAGTGGAGCATACAGACCAATAGGAGCAGAGAGCGGAGAGTACTTGTACTGTCCTCCTCAGCGGTGGCTCAATAACTTGCAGGTTAGTTGCACTATTGCACATGGTTTGCTGCTGCCTCTGCCTTTGTATCTTCTGAAACATCAGTTTGTCTGTTCATCGGAGAGATATGTGCATCATGTGTATTCTGTGTAAACTGAGCCTTTTTGCAGTACTTTCAGGACATGTGTTTTTCAGCACTCAGTCACATCCACCTTGAGGCCATACTTTATTGATTGACTTACTTTTTTCCCCCCTCCGCTAGTGTATTGCGTTTAAGCTTATAGTAACAACCTGTTAATTTGGGGGGCGCATTTTCAGTTAGTTTGCAAAACTGTTTTAACAACAAGCAGCGGATCACTTAGAACCAACAGTTAGGAAACCTTTATTCTCACCTCACTGAACTACAACAAAATTATGGGTATCACTGTTTTGTGCATTAAAGTTCATTAAAGCACACAGTACTCCATAACTCACAGCTATACAAATACTAGCGTTTAACAACTAACAGAGTAACTTTATACTGCTAAATAAAAACCACCCTAAACACACCTCCCTATGGTTAATCATCATCACCGTGACAGTGCACTCGTAGTGTTATACAGTGTGCGTTCTTTTTGTGTTTTTAATTCTAGCCCTGTGTGTATTAACATTAAAAAAGGGGGGATTGCTGACAGCAATAAAAAAACCTGGACACACATACTGGTAGCAGAACAGCATTTTCTACAAGGGAGGAGCTAACTGTAAAATGAGAGAAAATGCAGAGTTTTTAGATAAAGTGTTTTGACCTGTCAATGTGGCGAAGGCATCCTGTACCTTTAGCAGAAAAACAGTCCCAAAGCATAAAGTTTCCACCTCTGTGCTTGACTGTGGGGATGGTGATCTTTGGCTCAGGATCAAAACTCTTCGCATTTAATAGAGGGAAACTGTCATTTTGTCATGAAGCATTTATAGCCATACCATGAATAACAATAGCAGGACTGGAGTATTTCTTTGTTTTTCGTTCCTCGATCCATCCTTTTCTTAATCTAGGTTAGGGTATTATACATTCATAACTATGGCCAATTTAAAATCACCCATTAACAAAACAAGCACGTTTCAGCATTTACTTATTTAACTTTTTTAATCACAGCAAACATTTTTAATTGTAACAGTATGGAAAATGTGTATAGTTTGTACGGCCCGCACCAAACAGGTGGCCTCTCCTAAAAGGAAGGCAGCCACCATTATTACACCTGTGCCTTCTCTATGGTGACAAGTAAAAATGTGTAGTGGGAAGGTCAGTCGCCTACCTGTTTTTGGTTTCTGCTTTAGGAAGGAACGCTTGTAAAATCCGAATACAGTAGATAAAAGCACAGAGGAATCGGGCGTTGACAGTAGAACACACACCTAATTCTTGAGTTACAAATTAGCCTTTATAAGATTCCAAGCTGAAACTCATGTTCATATCAAACTGCAGTCGAGACACGGTGTGTAGTTTTAAGTGCAGCTTAAGAGTAAACCAGGCAAGTGTACCAGCAGTTATTTTCTATGTGTTTGGACCCTTGGTAGGAGGGTTGACACAGACTATGAATTTTCCTTGAAAGTCACAGATTTGGCCTCCTGCAGTAATATGCCAGCATATAATGTGGATCACAGCTAGTTCTCAGCTATCGTTCTCCACAGAGAGAACATCGACCAATAGGAATAGTTTTTTGTTTTTTTTAAAGCAACATTAGAAGGACTAATCAGAAAATGTTATGTTGATACAATGTTTATGTTGTTATAAGCACTTGAGTACATAGATGTTAATTAATCATAGAATGCTGCAGTAATGGTGGATAATGGGGAGATTCTGGTCACACGTGCGGTGTTCTGTGTTTTGTAGCGTGGAGCGGCGGTTTTGCTCTACCATCCGTGTGCACCACCTCGCGAGCGTCAGATCCTGTCCGACTTGGCTCGCTCCTGTCTGCAGTCCTACATCTTGACCCCACACCCACAGCTCAATAAACACATGGTAAGAAACACTTTCATCAACCTTTGTTTTCATCAGAATTTGTTGGATTTCTGGGATGTTAAACACGGATGCTTGTTAGATTTAATACCATTTCAGATTGGAACTCAGGATCTCGGAGAGAGACAAGATGCAAAAGCATTGTTTGCTTTAAGAAGACTGTTGAGGGTGTTGTCCTGTCATTGAACTGTCAGTTATTCGTTAAAAAGGGCCTTTTTAAGAGCACTCAGGCAGATGGTCTTGTACTTCATGGCATCATGAAGTACAAGATAAGTTTTTAGCCTCTGGGAGAAAGGAAATTTACCGAATGTGTTTCTCTGCTCTGTGCTCAGCCTGTAGCTTTTGTGTCCTGGGGTCGCACCTTGGAGCTGTCCACCGCCGCGTCTTTAGACCTCTGTGATTGGCTGGAGGTCAATCACAGAGATCAGACTTCAAGAAAAGAGTCTGATGGTGTGACGCAGATGAGGAAGTATGCCCTGCTGCTGACCTGGTCAGCAGAGCTGCATCAGCTAGAACAAACAACAAAAATGAAGGTTAGGAAACATGACTCAGGATTGAGCTAGCTTTGTTGAGTTGTGTGATGTTTTTTAACGTACAGACTAGTAAATAAATGAGTAATTTCAGTTGTCTGATATAACTAACATTGCAGGATTCCCTGAGGCAGTGTTGTGAGCGGACCATCTATTCTCTGTTAAGCGGAGCTACAGAGGCTGAACTAGAGCACAGCGTGAAGACCGAACGCTCAAAACAAACAAAAGTGGGAAGCAAAACCAGGCAGATGAGAGCTGCCCTGAAAGTTGTTGACAGCAATGAGAGCAATAACACTATGGCAAATGTCTCCAGAACTGTTCCTCAGCGGTCAGGAGATGGTCAGAATAACAGCAGCACGCTTGGATCATCAGCAGATCAGAGGAAACCTTTTGATCTTTCTAGCTCCAGAGAAGCTCCTCAGGTTCCAACTCAAGCCTCTAAACCCAGGCTCACAGCTCCCTTGGCCTTAAATATCTCTGAGACAGAAGCTCAGAAAGGCCTCAGAAAACTGAACCACTCTCCTGTTTCTGCACATGGTGTGAGCAGTAAACGCACCTTTACCGACAGGCCTGAAGCCCTGATTCTCAAGGAAACAGACTCTATTAAACACAATACCAAAGTGGACAAGTCTAAAGAGAAAATCTTCGACTCATCTGACGGCAACATGGAGGATAATGAAGTGGTAGATGTAAAGGAGAGAGAGCTGGAGCATACGCAGATCCAATGCGCCCCAGGATCTCACCAAAAAAGTGAAAGCACTGGCTCCGACTTTGTGCCTAAACCCCAGTCAGAGGCTCAGGCACAACAGCATCCACAGACAGCCAGCCACAGCCAGCCTATCAGCCGTGACTGCAACAGCTGCGCACCAGGTGAACACTGTGACTGTGTCAAGGCCTCGGGATCAGAGGCCCAAGCTGCTGCTGCTGTTGTATATAGAGAGCTGCAAAGGACCCCGAGGACGGACGAAGCGGCGTGGGCAGCAGCGGCACTAGGCTTCCTGCTGGTTCTCCTGACTCTGTCAGTGCTTCACACTCGTCTGTACCGCCACTGGAGGATCACGCCAAGCCTTTACTGGCACAACCCAAGCGACGACTATGACAGCGTTGCAGGTAACGTCATCAGGGATGAAGAATAGAGCTGTTATGCCCTAATTAAATTAGAATTTTTCTGAAAGATACACATTCTCTTTTAGGTGGAGCTTACAAGCCAAGCTTATTCCTGTTATGTTTTTTCTTCCAGATGTGATCCGCAGAAGGTTGCGAATTGCAAAGAGAAGGCAGAAAAGGGGCAGAAGGCAAGAATGCGTTCTCCTGCCGAGCTCCTCCAGCTCAGATGAATGTCCGTAGAACTGAAAGAAACACCCCCAACACTGTTTGGGAAGAGGGGACCTGAAGGAAAAGAAAAAGGGTGTGTTATGTATGTTGGACTCGTCTTACATGTAGCTGTCTTACACCTACGGTGTGCAGTTTATCTGAGAGAACCTAAATGTTGTAAATTACGCACACTATAACAGCCCTACAACCACAATGAACAGGCTCATAGGAATTTGACAGAGGACCCACCATGTCATATTTTTAACATGTGAATATTTTTTTAATTGAAAGGACAAAAATGTTTTATCCAAAAGAACGGTTAACTTATAACCAGCCAGAAATGTAAGTTGCTGTTGTAAGCAACGCTATGTTTGTGTTGTCATACAAACATGTGAATAGCTGCATTCTGGAGATGTGATTGTGTGATTTGTAAAGAGTGAGTCTACAGGTACTTTGATTAAAATTAAAACTGTAAAGTTAGAACATCCAGATCAGTAATGGATGTGTGTGGGGGGGGGAAACAAAATGATCCGGTCTTTTTGAAGGAGGAGGAGAAGAGAACGTGAGTTGAACTGTGATGATCCAGAGCACAATGGAAGGCAGAGTGAAAAGTTTTTGCTGAATGATCTCAAATGTACTTTTGCAGTAAGAAAAAGAAATGCAGGCAAACCCTGGACAATTAAATTGTTTTATTATTTTATTACAAATGTACAGCTTATGAGTTTCCATTACGATTGACCTTTTTAAGTCGTTGTTTTCCCTACTTTACAGTTCTTAATTGTCTTCTGTTAAAAGATAACTCTCCCATCTCCCAAACTGTCGAGCTGTGAAGACACACAGGAATGCGACAGCACAGGCTACAGTGCACTGTCAGGGCTGAGAATCTGATGTGTGTGTGCATGTGTGTGTGTGTGTGTGTGTGTTAAAGTCTGGCTGAAGAGTCAATGTTTGTACCTGTGCATGGCTTGGTCCAACCGATAAGGGTGAGTGTCTGATGTTGTCTATGTGCTAAATTCTGAACAGAATGAAGGCATATAAAGTCTGCAAAGTGTGACAAAACTGACACAAGCATTAAACATTCACACTAGAGGCACCCTATGTAGTGTCCACTAACTCAGAGGAGGACTGGGCCATGTGCGTTTTTAAGACCCCCCCCCCCTCCTCGTGATCTTTTGAGATGACTGTAGTGTTAAGCCCAAGTGTGCTTCAGACCATACCCCCACCCATATTTCCATATGCCAACTCCAATCCTGCACCCAATGTACTTGAGCTAAGACCTTTGGGAGAGTGCAGTAAATACTGCAGATCCTACGTCATCCAGCAGGTGTTTTGAAAAATAGTGCAACTAAGATCAAATGAGACACGTTGTCATTCCCATCTTCCCATGGATACGAGCAGGATCGTTAATATGTACTATATGACTACATAGTAACACCACACCGTAACCTCAAAACATTCGAACAACTGCAAGTACATCAGGTGCCGAGACTTAAGAGGTGAGCAAGGACTTGGTGAACAGAGGTCATGGCCTGAAGCCCATTTAGGCCAACAAATATATAAATATCTCACAAACAAAAACTACAGCTTAATATAAAATATAGCATGAAAAATATACGTTCATATATATATTTTTATATATATATATATGGCTCTAGACTAAAACATGGGCAATCATGATTAAAGGGGACACGTTTTTCTTGCTGGCCCCCTGTGTGTGTTGGTGTGTGTGTGTGTGTATAAGTGTGGTAGTATTTCTGTTGTATCAGCAGTCAGTACGAGATCACCGCAACTCAGCCAGTCATACAAGAGATGATGATGACGATGTGCAAAGGCATTCAATATTAAACAATGATACATTTCAAGAGTTTTTCAACGCACAGTCCAAGTTTCCCTCCCATGCAGAGACATGTGTGCAACTATGTCAAAGACTGAGGGGACATGGACTGAAATCCCACGTAGTGATCAGAGTAAAAGATTTAAAAAATATATATATAAACCATAAAATATTGGGGGGGGGAAGTGGACAGAAATGATGAGGCATTACCTCAAGGTGTTTGGAGCCGATTTGTCATCTTGTGGGGAAAAACAAAAAGGCAGCAATACAAGACAAACTGAGATGCGACTGTAGTTTGATCCTTCAGTGTTTCAGGTGAGTAACTGAACGCTGAGATTACACAAAAGAGCGAGGTGAGGAAATCTCTCTGTTACTGAGGAAACCAGCTGCGGGAGCACTGGTGAAGGTTTTAGAGTAGAATCTTAACTTTAAAAAAGGAAAAGGGAGAGAGAGAGAGAGAAAAAAAAAAAGAGGACAGTCCTCCCAGAAGTTCCCAACGTGTTTACAGATATGACCATTTTTGTTCGGCACAGTACGCGACTGACATAAGTCGGTTGAACTGCACTGAGTTTTGTTCCCAACGCTGTCTGCAGAAAGGCAGATGGCTAAAAAGAGACAACTTCTGTGGCCCAGATCAGCAGGCTGTGACAGAAAACTGCTCGCAGGCTTCCACAGAAGCTTGTCAAACAGTCTCAAGGGTAAAAAAAACAAACAAAAAAAACAACAACATAATAATACTTGGCAAACTAAATCAAGTGCACCTCAGAATGATATCTGTGATCCTGGTTGCCAGATCTGGTGCTTTTGTTTTTTCTCCACAGGTCTACTTTTAAAGCTCAACTCCCAACACACCAGTGTGTCCGCTTAATGACACTCAACAGTTACCAAGTAAAGCACCCGTGCCACATAAGCACTTTTTGAGGAAGACTGGGGCTTAATCCTCCATGTGGAAACCAGATGTTCTTATTATTCTGCTTGGCACTGCGAAAAAATGATTACGAAGGTGATTCTGAGATGATTCCACTGGCTCTGGTAATGAGGCGAACAGTAAGAGAAATCAAGCGCAAAGAAAGAGAGGGGGGAAAAAGACAGCTGAGGACATGAAGGAGGAGCAGTTGAGATCCTGGTCCTGTCATAATACACCATGCCTTTGGCAACCGTTCAACACCCCACAGCCATAAGATGTATATATCACATGAAGGAAAATGTAATAAAAACTCAACTGTCTTTGAAAAGGAGCGCTTGAGAAATGTCGAGGACCTTTTTTTCACAGGCTGATTCGTGTGTTTGTTTGTTTGTGTGCATGTAGACTTAAATCCCAGTAAGAGGTTAACACATACTCCCACCTGTCTCCATATTCAACTAAATGAGACAAGAAAAAAAAAACATACATAAAATAAAAAATGACAGTCAGTAAAATTATCAATACAAAGCAAAAACAATAGGCAAGAAAAACAACAACAACAATAAATCACAATTATTCCAGTGTAAGGGTTTTTGTTTCTGTAAGTCAGTAAAAAAAAAAAAAAAAAAAAAAGTATTTCTGTCAGACCAAACAGACCTGCACATTCAAAAGGCAAAAAAAGGAGAGGAAAGAAAGGAAAACATGCCAGATCATGCTGTGTACCACCAAAAGAAAGGGAAGGTGATGGGTTTAATAAAAAGAAAAAAAGAAAAAAAAAAAAGCTGGAGCCCCTCCTGTAAATGCTTACCCCCATGTGGAAGGAAGTGTGGGAATCAGACTGAGTGGGCTGCAGGTCCTTCTCTGCACCGGACGCTCATCCAGCCTGGGACAGCGTGGGGGTGCGGGGTCCCTCTTCTTTAGAGAGAGGAAAGAAGAGGAGGAAGGACAACCCGATTCCTCGTAAGGACGGAGGGACGGCGATGGTGTGGAGGCTGTTCTATCTACTTCTCTCTCGGAGCATACGCTGCCTCCCTCCCGAAGCGGGAGAAGGAGGGACGATGAGTTACAAGTGAGAATAAATAAAGCAGTCTATGACACGTGTGCTCGTCACAGTTTGAGCAGTTTATGGTACACATCCCATTCCAACAGTCTGCTAAGGTCCCTGCGGGCTGTGGTTCCCGTGTTGGCTCCTTCCTTTCGTCCTTCCCTACTTTCGCTTCCACACCTGTGGAATTTTTTTCCATTCACTGTAGTGTTTCTATCATACAAACGTCCTCTGCTTTGCTTCCATCCAAATCCCTTCCTTTCTCTTTTCTCTTCCTCATGTCAGCCTTGCTCCCCCGTCACTTCAATTCCTTACCCTTCATCTTGTAGTGTGATCGTACTCCCCTCCCACCCCCTGCCCCTCCCTCTTTCTCCCTCTCCCGGAAGCCCCCTCCCATCCCACTTTAAACCGCACATGCACTGATCCTCTCTCTTTCTTTTGTCGGGTCACTGTTTCTTCTCACGAGTGGTGATTGTGACCAGTTGCTTGGCAGCCTTGGCGATGTCGTAGGCGCACTGGATGACCTGCTGAGTGAGAAGCTGGTAGTCTACTGCAGGAGCGCCAGGCTCCGAAGGCGCCGCCTTACGGCACTCCACCTGCAGTCGTGAGGCACTGGAAGCCAACAGGCGGAGAGAACAGTGGACTGCATCCAGTGCCGGTCGCTGCAGACAGATGGAAGCAATCAAAAAAGAAAAAAGAAGATGTAGATGTAGATGAGAGACACAGTGTGAGAAATAAAACATAAGGACGGGGCACTTACTTTGGGGAAGAGTGAAGCCATCTCTGTGACAGCAGAGTGGATCTTCTCAGAACACGGCACAAAACTGAAAAGAGAAGTGATTCTTTAACTGAAGAGTCAAATGAGTCAAGAACTGTGCAACAGCACTAATGCAGGTGAGCAGGCGAGGTTCCTGCAACGACTCCTGTGGTAAAGAGGGAGCTGGTGTCCAGGAAGCAAAGTTTATCAAACTGGGAGTTTGAGTGACTCACGTTAAAGGTGGGTAAAAAAAGAAAAAGTCACACAGCAAATCTTTAATTTTTAACGAGATTTAAATCGATTTCTTAACACCAGCCATATTTATCAATAGAAAGGTTTAGTGTGCTGTAATTAAATAAAACAAAAGAGTTGAAACTGAGGAGAAACACTGCATTAGCCTCAAACTACAATAACTGCATTCTTTCCTTATTACACCTATCGTCATTGGCCCTTGGTAGCCCTGGTGACCGTAAGTATGAGACTGCAAATACAAGCACCCACAACATTCTGAAGAGATTATATTTCTTATGTGGCTTCCTCTAGTAAAAGCTGGAAAATATTGCTAGCGTAACAGTTCAGCCTACTGCTGCTGGAGTTAACAACTACATTCTCACTGTGCAGCTGTCGACTATCATTCACATCAGAGTTTACCATTTAAAAATGGAGATTAAGGTGCTGTCTATGTCTATCAGACATGTGCTGCTTTGCATTAATCTGACGGCAGCTGAGCACTTGAGTGCACCCCGCTCATTCTCCTGGAAAAGTCATGAAGGGTAAACTTAGGTTAGGGGACACAGCACCAGTGTAAACTTCATGCAGTCACATGATCTCCTGTGTCTATGAGCTGCTCAGCTCTTTTCTAATTTACAGTAAGACTACTTAAAGTAGCTTTTTGGTGGTTTTGGTGCATTTTCACCATTTCTGACCCAGGGGGAGATTTTATTTAAACCGTTTACAGTTTTTATACATGGTCTTATATTTCCATCCCGAGTATACTCTTGTTTCTGTCCTCTGTCTTTCTTTCACATCTTTGTGATTCGGCCTCTCATAATGTCAACATCAACTGATTGTGAATTGCTATGATCTGATTTGATATTGAGGGTTTTTTCTGATTGAAATCAAGAAAAAAATAAGCATAACATTAGCTTAACTCAATGTCTGACAGGCTGGTTGTAAGACACGATTAGATTTGTAATTTTTATGCATTTTATTTTAAGATGAAAAGGACTGTGCCACCATTTTTTCACCTACCTGTCGTGTTTGAACTCCTGAGCGGCCCTGAGCAGCTCCTGGATGTTCTTAGTCACCTGCTCAGTCTTCAGTATGACGTCCTCTGTGCAGGGTAAGGTGGGGTCTGGCTCACCCCCCTCCCCACCCTCCTCAGGCTCCCCACGGCCTTCCTCTTCACTGCTGCGGCCCATACTGGATAGGGAAACGCATTACCCGCGCAACAATTAAAACCTCAGATCGAGGACAGTAGGTGACGGTCATGGATGAGCATTTACAGTCCTTATGTGGCATTATGTCAACAGCTTGTGCCCCTCGTTTCTTACTAAAAACTGCTACCTCCACATTTGTGTTATAAGTAATTGAAAACAGTTTCTGTGAATCCATTTAAAAAATAAGATCATTAGAAAAGTAGAAAAGTTGGTTTTAGAAAGCTAGGACATTTTTCAGATTTACATTCAAACACTGACCTTACTGAGGCGTCGTACAGTTGTGTGTTGTCGTAGTCGCTGTCGGTGCCACTGCCGTGCTTCTCTGGTTTAGGGACCTGGAAGAAAAACACAGCAGGAACTAAATAATCACCACACATCATGTCCTGTAAGTATACCTCTTCAATCAAAATTCTAATTTTCATTTGTTTCCATGTAATTGAGATGGTTTCCACTGATGTCCATTAAATGGGACAGATATTACACTACATTTAGTATGTGGGTAATTCTAATGGGATGAGGGATATTCTGTGATTGAATCTCAGGATTAGGGCCAACAGCAACAGACCCATGAGACGCTGGTTTGGATAAAACAATGTAAGCCAATAATCTCAACTTTCTGAATGCATTAAGTGGAGGATCATAAAAAGAAATGAAGAGCCAAAACAGCAGCAGCTCACCATGTATCTACCCATCTCTGCAGATCCAGACAGATATGGACTCCCTGAGCCGCCCTTCCTTACCTGGGAAGACAAAGGGAACACAAGGATAGAGAGAGGATGAGAGAGAGATGGAGGAGCATGGGTGAGGCCAGAAAGAAGATTAAAAAGAAATTGAAATATTAGCAGAAAGAGACAGATGATGAAATGAGCAGGGGGGAAAAGAAGCGTGGGGACATAGAGAAGAAGTTTTCTTTTTAAATAAACAGCAGGAAAACAAGGCAAACGAGTCAGTGAGAGCAGCACCGAACAACTCAACGGCCCATCATCTTTTTCTACACTACATGCCTCGCTGCTTATCTAACAGGAAGCAAACATACTGTCAACTAATCTAGCTTCTTCTGCTTGACTTACACACGGCACACAGCATCTAAAAAGAGACTACCCACACTCAATACTAATGTTGATCTCTGAAAAACAAAATGCATAATTACATACTGTGAGATAATACTACAAACTCAAAGACGAAATGACAAACAATGCAATGACAGACAGAATGCTTACATCCAGAGGATGCACGGCTGCACTGCAGTGAGCAAAGAATGGACAGGTGAAGAAACAGACAGACAGAAAACAGACAAACAGGTAAATCTCTGTGTGAAGAAACAGTCACCAACTTGGTGCGGCGGTGAGATGTGTCTGCATTCTGTAGCTCTATTAACGTGCTGTAAACTAAATGCTGCTGAACTGCTCACCTGGTTGTCTGCAATATGAGAAACTTTTTTTTAAATTTTATTATATCTTTTCTTTAAAGTGGCGGTGAAACAAAAATGAACTTCTGTGCATCTGTGTGTGTGATCCCAGCATTTCCAGATTAAGCAACTGTCCAGCAGCAAAGACGTCAAAGGGGTTTGAAAAGGTCAAAGTGTGCAGAGCAGGCTATGCAGCGGTGTATCAGAGGCTTTTGCCAGGCAGCAGAACAGAGGAAACAGTCCTTTTTTGTTGTTTTTCTTTCCCATCTTTCTCCTTCAGGTCACACGTATGCACTCCATCATTTATGCAGTTTTAAAGCTCAATATAACAAATCTTTTTGAACCATTACAAAACTTCCCTTAAAAATGGGTTCGTGCACAACTGGATCTTTTGAAAGAGAAGGACTGAGAACTGAGATGCAAGGGGAAAGAAGAGGGGGGGAAATGTAAAGATCAGGATCAGACCATCACCTATTTAATCAGGCCAAAGACAGGCAATCAGAGCCACCGAGGCGAAGGTGGTGAGTGGAAAGGGGACAGGGCCGTTCTAACTTACGCTGGCTGTGTTGAGGGGCTGCAGGCGGGGCACTAGGGAGTCCAGGACTGGGGGACCGTGGGCCGTGGGGCCGGGGGCCGCCCCTGGCTCGTACATTGAGAAGGCCTGGCGTTCCCTCCGGTGAGGGTGGGAGTGGGGGGTGGCTGAGGAGGGCACCGAAAGCACCGGTGGGTCCCCTCCTGGCCCAAATCCACCCACTCCACCTCGCATCCCACCCACTGCCCAGTGGCCTCCTGTTCCCCCACCTCCACCAGGTCCCCCTACCCCATGGCCAGCTGCTCCCCCAGCCTGCTGGCCCCTCCGTAGCGCACTGTTCTCTGTCTGCATCCGGGTGATCTAAAGGAGAGGAGGAAGGCAGCAGGGAGGGATGAGACAATGGAGGGAGGGATGGAGGGAGGAACATGGGAAGGTTGAAGGGAATTGGGGGGGGGTCAACTGAACGGTCAAAAACAAGCATCCATATTCAGGCTCATATTGGGCTTCACATATTAAGTCAGTATTGAGGGGGGGGGGATGCAACACATGGTATTACACTACAATAAGCTGGGACTGGGTCTTAGGGAAGGGGTGGAGGGCTACAGTACATACCTGAAAATACAGTGTTTGTGTTCAAGGGGTCAATGAGGGGAAACTGTAGGATCATCTGCCCTGAGGTACTGTTGCCTAGCGCCCTAATCTGACACATTTGTTATTTGCAGTGTGTTTTTTTCTATGTTTGTTTCAAATCTTCATTAAATCCTCAGTGACATGAGAAGATGAACACATAAATGAATCACTTAAGCCAGTCGCTAATGAACATATTAGGGAAATGACAATGACTCACGGGGGAAAAAAAAGATGCAACAATGAACAGCACATGAGCTCCATCAAAAGTAAATAACACCCTGACGGGGAAAAATCATCTTGCAAAGATATTAATTTATTCAACTGTCTCTCCATCATTATACCCTCTTTCTGTCTGAATCAACTGCCCCATCTCTTTTACCAATCTGCCTCGTGTCTTCTAGTCATCATTACCAAGCACATCTTTTATTCCAACTTCTATTCATTTTGTATTCTCTTTCTAAGAAGCCACGCAGCAAACCCTTTATTAGTCTGAATGGTCACTGCTAATCCTCTCGTTCCACCTGCACTCCTCCTACCTCCTTCTGGAGCCGCCGGAGCTCCTCGCTCAGGTTGTTGTTAACCTTCATCAGCTGCTGCACCTTAGCTTCTGAGGAGGCCAAAGCCTTCTTCACCTCCAGATACTCCTGCAGGGTGATGGGACCATCTGACAAGTCTGAGGAGTCCATACTCTGGATCGATAGGAACATATAAGGCAGGAGGTCAAACGGGTCGAAAGATTTGGGGAGGGGTTGTGACTGAACTCCTTCAATACATTCTGTATTTAGTGAAATTCATGCATTAACAAGGTTCTAAATGTGGTTGTAATTTATACATTTTTTTTAAGCTGTGGAAAAAAAACAAAAAAAAACAGCCGTGGCTTTGAGGCAAGAAGAGGCCTAACTTGAAGGTAGGATCTCTCACACACACACACACACACACACACACACACACACACACACACTAGACCTTTAGTTCTTGCTCTCAATATTCCCACTCACTTCCTGCCACCCCACAGCCTGCTCAGATTCAGCCCTCTACCACTCCCTGGAATTAAACCAATAAATACACCTTTCATAAACTACACTTTATAGCCTTCTGCTTGTGCTTCATTCACCACTACTTCTATTACCCCCTGCTTCATACTAGAACACACAATTCTTCGATGCTGTGAGCACCGTAAAACAACAAATCCATATATTTCCTTGGATTTAAAGGCGAGTAGATCCTCCAGCTTGGCGGGGTTTTACCCTGAGCATGAAAAGAAGCTTGTTACTGGTTTAGCTTCACTTCTACCCCTCCCACATGATTTTTCCTTCCTTTTGTTTCTTAAATCTGTCTCCTTCTCTTTTCCCTCCCATTACACACGCTCTCTCTGTGCATGAACAATGCCTTGTCTGACAGGGACCCAGAATAGCTGATGATGTCACTCAGGAGCTATGTGGCAGCCATGAGTATGGCCACTTTCCGCAAAGCATGTTGGGAGAAGCAGTCATTCAAGCCACTAAACTGTGGAAAAGCTTTGCTTACTAATATGACTGAATGAAATTCAGGGATAGAGGGAAAGGAAACACATCAAAATGGTGATTAACAAGTATGAAAGCCACAGAAATGTGGGGTAAAGGGTAGCTATTTAGAGAAAAAAAAGTGTGTCACGCTGTATACCTTTGCACGGTTGCTACGTTGCGTGTTGTTGTTGTTCTGGGTGGTGAGCTCGCTGTCTGTGTCCTCGTCAGAAGCTACACTGTCGTAGTCGTGCTGGTCATCATCGATGCCCAGGTCCAGCGGGTCTGATAACAAGGAGAAGAAAAATCTGCCCATTTACAGTTTTCTTTCACGTAATATTAGCACTCGCTCTTCTCTCAAACGTGATCTTTCTCCTGGGAGTGCTTAAAGTAATAACACAGTTGTGTGTCGTACTTGACCGTTTCATGTAAGAATAAACTGTCACACAGGAATGATTCTCTTATAACTGTGCTGCTGCTGCGACACAGGTGATTTTAAAAGTTTTAAGGTTTTATGCTTTGCAGACTTTTGCACACTGGTATAAATCAATAAATGGATATCTATGCATCGTGCATATTAATCAGGTTAGATGGCACTGCCTTCAAAGTTTAAAGTCTAGCCCTCCCTCCCAGTCTCACCAGTAGGGCTAAGACCTTTTCCCTGCTGTCTCCTTTTGGCGTCACTCAAGATGTCGATGATGAGGGTAGCAAACTCCCGGGCGTTGAAACGGGCGAGCTTCTGGCGGCCCTGAGAAAAGAACAAGCCGGGAGTTACACAAACACATGCGCACACAAACACTGGCATCAAAGCCTGAAATTCAGTTCCGCATTTTTGTTTTTTAAAATCATGAGCTGAGTATGAGACAAATACAATGGGGCCCATAGTCAGTGGTTCAGTGCCTGTGTGACTGCTGTGGTCAGTTACCATGTGCTGTGGAAAAACACAGTCATACTCTCAACACACACAGCAACACAACATGTGCAAAGGAACATAAACTCTACAATTAGGTTAGCGTCCAGGCATCTGCATAAGAGCACAAGAAGGTCAGCTCCTACCAAAGTGTAAAACCATTCACAGAAGTTCGACTCTAAAGATGTGATTTCTTCTGTTTTCGACCATAAATAGGAGCCTCTGACCAGAGTGAACTGCCCAATCACGTGAAAGCAAACGTGGCCATGTGGGAGTTGTTTGTATGTGTGTGTGTACACTTGGGTTTGAGTGTTTACACCAAAAATGAGCCATTCAGATGACTATAAACTTTGTAAGTGGACTTGAGATTTCGCTCTCTACCTCACAGGGAGAGCTAGAGAGATAAAGAGAGAGTGCAGAAAGATTACACTCTCACATCTGAGGAACAGCCGCTGCTAATTTCACACTCCTTTCTCTGTCCCCCCCCCAACAAACACATAAACTGCCTATCTAAGAAATAAGAAATCTCCATTTTGTCTTTTTTTCCTTCCCCCCTATCTGTTCCTTTAAATCAGTCATTACAAACGTATGTGCGTGTTTACCTGGTTGCGCGTTGCAGAGTATTCAGGGTTGACTGGTAGGAAAGGGACTGCGCTGCGTTCTGTTACCAGAGTGCTGTGGTTCTGGGTCGTAAGCCACACTGGAGACAAAAACGTAAAGCAGAAAATAAATCTGTGAGTGCGCGTTCAAACAACAAGGTCGCCCACATCCAACCACACGCAGCCCATCCACCCACACATCCACAGAGATATAAACAAAGTACAGCGAATCTCTTACAGTGCAGTTTTGTGTGTGCTGTTGGTGGTGTGTCTACAAGTCTATCCCTGCTACTTACCTGTGCGCTTCAGTCAGAAAGCGCGCTCTGACTTTTGCCCATACTGAAGGAAAGGGAGAGAAGAGAAGGAAAAAAGAGAAAGAGCGAAGAGGAGGAGAGAGACTCAAGAATTTTCGAGGCACTTCCTCGCTCCATTCTCCTCCCCCTCTTTCACTCAAAACATTTTGGCCTTCCTCTTTAGCAGTTTTTCCCTTCTCTCGTCGCCCTGTCCTTCATTTCACTTCCTCTTTCTTTGGCGCTTCTTATCTTTATATCAGCTTCACTCCCATAACTTTTCCTCAAAAGTTTTTACATTTTTCTAGTTTGTTTCAACATCAATTGGTCCACAAAGGGGAAAAAGCCCAAACGCACAGGCCCAGGCAGACAGTCGTAGAGGGTATAAAGGAAGCGATAAGGCTCACCTGCATCATTTTCTCTGCGATCCACCTCGTCATAGACGTCCATTGCTAGCTCCTCAAACAGCCGATTGTTGAGCTGCCACACATGCGCACACAAATTGACATTAGCGGGTCTTATTCTACATGTCTATATAGATACAGCACGTGCTGAACAATAAGCATCAGCGTGACAAACCAGAGAGAGCAGATGAAATAAAATGAATTTAATAACAATCTCTCAGATTGACATGGAGAGAACAAACAGCTATGAGCAGAAAATCTGTTTGTGACAACAACTTTTCTTTTCACCCAACAAAAACTCTTTTCTTGTATTTTTTATTTTTTTATTTTTTTACTTTCAAGAACCTGTTTAAAAAAAAAACAAATCCCCCCAAAACACAACAGCCTGTTGCTTTTGACATTATAACCATAAGCTATGTAAATTCAACTCACCGCTTGGAGCTTCTTCTTGGCAGCCTTGGCCAGTTCTGAGAGGTCCAGACTAGAACAAAAACACAGAAGATGACAATCAAAAAGGCATCGTAAATATACAGTGGAATAAAGTCGCAGGGAGGAAGGGGACAGGGGAGGGAGATATGAGATGGAAGAAAAAAAGTGAGAGGGGTGGAGGTGGAAAGGGAGTTTTTTCTAGAATGAGGAGGGAAGGCGGGACAACTTGTTCTACTGGTGACTGCTGGTCAGGTAACAACAGCAATATAAATGTGAGTTGGCTTTCACATATTATGCTGTAAGGGTGTCAAGTTTGTGACACAGTGAGATTACAGAGATTCGAAGCTTTAAAGACTGATCTGAAACTCTTTAAATATGCTCTCGCTATGGCCAAAGATGTCACTAAGGATACACGCGGAAGTAAACTTTGAATATGCGAAAAAGCCTGGTGTGATTCAAACACTCGACAGTCTTTCAGTTACAAGACTTCTTGATTGTTTACATCTGTTTAAATCTTTACAGCTTTATAATCTATAAACAACTGTTCAATGCCACTCAAGAAAAGCTGGATGCATTGTGGGATACATGAGAGATGGAAGTATACAGAGAGGGGACCGATGGGGAGAAAGAGATTCTGGGGGAAAAAAGAACAAGGAAAGTAAAGATACCTCTGTGTCGGGCACTTAGGACGAGCTCTGACTCCACCAAGCACAGCGAAATGGAGAACAGAAGTGAGAAAAACAAGAGAAACAGACAGAAAGAAGGGGAAGAAAAGCCACATGAAAACAGCTTTAATTGTTGTTAACAAGAGGAACCATTCACCAGAAACAGAACAGATGCAAGTGGAGTTAAGATGACAGCACAGAAGTAAGACCCATTTCAGTAACGAACAGATCTGGAGGTGCAACACATCTCTGAACTGTAGCTGAGAAAACCCAGCGCCCATCAAACAAGTGAAAGAAGCCGTGCTAAGAAATGCTGAACTCGATGTGTCATGGCCTGAGCACTCGTGTGTCTTTCAAATCCACGCTGCAGTTCAGCATTACTTAACCAAGCGCGCTTCAAGTATCTACCTCACCAAATTCACAGTGAACAGACAGCTTAATAAAGACTTCCTTTACCTAACTCCTTTGTGGGGGCTTTGGTGCCACCCTGTGGTCAGAACACTAAATTATATCAATACATACATGTCAGACAGAGAAATTAAGCAGTCACAGAAGTAAGGCAAGTTTGGCAGCTGCAAGTTTAATCATGTAGATATTTGTTTTCAGGCAATTAAACGACAACAGACTTGCAGCTGTTCATAATCAACTTAAGACAATAAAAATGATCATTTGGTCCATACCTGTCTGCCATTTGAGGAATGATATAGTGGCCATTCTTGTGATCTGGGAGAGAAGAGAAAAACGTAACAACCAAGTAACAAAAATCTACCACAGTACGTTACTGAGGTTAACTGCTGTGCTTAAAGGCATGTGAAGAGGAGAACAAAAACAAGAAAAACTGGTGCATTAGGTTACCTGGACGCCGACCGCACAGGTAGAAGGCTAACCTGTCCGTCAGCTCATACTGACACTCTACCAGACGCTCTGCTAGCTCTATATGGCCCGCCTGCCTGGAACACACACGCGCACATGAAATGATTCTACTTGTGTTGTGTTTACCATTAGATGACTCAATTCCAGAGCTGAACAGGGTCTAAATGCAGGTTTTGTATTTACTGAATTGTGCTTTCAAATTCCTGTACCTAGCATAGTCCATAGGTGTGCGTCCGTTAATGTCAGGCGATCCAGGGTCTGCACCATACACCACGAGCAGCTCAGCCTGCAAGATCTGCCCTGCCTTGGCTGCCACATGAAGTGGGGTAGTGCCTTTCTCCTGTGGGACACACACAGAAACACAGTCACAAACAGAGACGCCTGGCATAAAGAGAGTAAGTTAACAGCACAAGACAAAATGTGAGTCAGTGGTAGATTTATTTTGTCCTGACCGGGTGGAAGAAGTTGGCCTGAGCGCCGAGGGACAGGAGCCGAAGACACGTCTCTAAACTCCCCGTCCGCACGCTTGAATGAAGTTGCTAATAGAGAGGGAGAAACAGACAGGTAAAGAGGAGAGAGAGAAACGGGGGGAGTCAGGGCGGAAAGATTAAACATCACAGAGAGAAGGAAACAAACTGAATTCCCTTATTAGCCCATAGAGGCAGCACAGCGCTAGAGATGATTGTTGCATCCTGCTGTGTCATTCAGATCACTCCCTGCTGGGTTTGGGGGGGGGGGGGGGGTAATAAGTAAAAGAGCATCTGTGTGTGTTTGCCTGAGTGCATGCTTATGTGCAACGTCTGCTACTGACATTCATAAAGGAAACAACCTTTGTGCTTAGACTTGCTGTTCCACAGTATAGCTGTGTCAGTATAGGCTAATTAACCTGAACTCATAACATCCTACCCATCAGCTCAGTACAGAGTAACATTAGAGCGCAGATTAAAGACAATACTGGTTTTCTGTTATCATCCAAACAAGTGCAGAATCCTTCACTTAGCGGATAAAAGAAAGCATGCTTATAGGTCTACAGATGACAAGTCGAGTTAAATTATTCTCTAATTGTTTATCAAGAAAAAACAAGTGTCGCACGTACTCAAGTCAGCAGCTGTGTTTACGTTTTCTTACCTTACTGAGATCTTTAGTGGTGACGCCGTCGTCATCACGACAGGGCAGCTTGTGCACGAATGCGAGCATCTGGTATTTGGCTCTGATGAACTCTGACTTGGTGGGACTGCACAGGAGGGGAAGTTGAGATGGTTACCAAAAGCCCAGGCCTCAAAGGTAAACAAGAACACTCGAGGACAAAATATGTGGAACTGCAATTCATGCAATAAACCCTGTTATACAGGAAAATGCGTTTTAGCATCATGACTGCAAGTGCATATGGCGCCCCACCGAGGGATTTGAAGCCCCACTAGAGGTAAGGTCATTTTGATTTGACTTCATTTTTCTCTCTCACCCCCTCACTCTCATCAAATAGAAAGATCAGGCGCCTTTCTCTGTGAGGTACAGACACAGAAAGTGCTGTAATAACAGACAAACAGCCCCCCAGTAGTAATAAATAATCTCTACAGTGAACCGAACTGATGGGTTATGCCTAGTTTCCCAGTTTGCTTTACATAAATGGATAAAGAAATAAATCTGATGAACACTGCAGAGGTTTTTAAGAGGCAGTTCACACTAAACCTCCATTTTCCGGTGAAAAAGAAATGAGCAAATATTTTTCCTGCGGGTCCCGATCTCATGACTCTCCCAAAGCCATATTTCAGCCCACAATGCACTAATGTACTTAGAAACAAATACTAGTTGCAATTGTTCTTCACCAGTCAAAAAAAAAAGAGAGAGAGAGAAAAATTATGCTTACAAAGGGACAATAATTTCTCTGTGTCCTAATGTGGATTTTGAGCCCGTGCAGAGCATACTTACTGGACTTTGTCCTGGGGGTTCGGTTTCCTGCGGCCACTCTGCACCTGAGCCGGGTCCAGGAGACTGTGTTCCCATATGGAGTTGGCCCCGTTACTGGCCAAGGTCTGAACCATCTGAAACACAAACGCGTACACACACACACACACACACACACACACACACACACACACACACACACACACACACACACACACACACAGAAGTGACTCAGTGATGGTTTGCTGTCATGAGCATGTTTTATTAAAGTCAGTGTAAAGCAGTGTGTTTGGAGTTTGTCACACGGAAGAAAAATGTGTTATCCTCTGGCTAAACTGACTGTTAATCACAGAAAATTAGGTTTCAATATCCTGAAAAAAAGAAAAAGCAATATTCTCTGCTTGGAGACGCTGTCTACTGAAGATGCTACGACTGTGCGCCCAATCATGGGAAGGCAGTTTCTTATGAAGATAAAGTACCTCTACAATTTGAGAAATGGATTATCAATCTAGAAGCTTTTTCTGTACAACAACCAGGCGATCAGCTCATTATGACCACCTGCCTAATATTGTGTTGGTCCCCCTTTTGCTGTCAAAACAGCCCTGACCCATCCAGGCACGGACTCCACTGGACCCTGTGTGCTGTGGTATCTGGTACCAAGATGTTAGCAACAGATTGCAAAGAAACCTTTAAGTTTAAACATTGAAGTCCTGCAAGCTGCGCGGTGCAGAAATGATTCATCAGACCAGGCCACCTTCTTTCATTGCTCTGTGGTCCAGTACTGATCCTCATGTGCCTACTGTTAGTGCTTTCAGCAGCTGAATGGGGTCAGCATGGGCGCACTGTCTGGTCTACAGCTGAGGCCCTACTGTGATGCTCTGTGTATTCTGACAGCAGTAACCTTTTCAGCAACGTGAGCTATAGTAGAATGTTTGTAGAATCAGACCACATAGTCCAACCTTCACTCTCCAGTGAGCCTCCGCTGCCCATGACTCTGTCACCCGTTCATCCACAGACAACCTGCTGTTAGGGCGTTTTCACATCTGATTCGTACTCTGGTTCAAATCAGTTAATGAGTCGGTAAACTTGTAGCCGTTCCCCCGTGCTTTGGTTTGTTTTCACGCAGAGAAAAATCCAAGTGAACTCCAAGTGAACCAGAATGTGTCACTACAAACCACGTGACAATGTTCAGTCTGCTTACTAGCCAGATGTGTCTGGAAGAAGGCGCTGTGTTCTGGACTATAACAGAATTTACTTTCATTAGCATTTGCAGATCTATCAGATTCTAACCCCTAACCCTGTGTGGCTGCTGGATGTTTTTAGCTCAAACTTGCTAATTGGTTTGGATCTAGGTGGGATCACATTCACACCATAAACCCCTCCAAAGGTTCTCGGTGCAGTCGTTGTGGTCTGCACCTGAGTGTGATTACAGTGTTTGCACCTGCACACATGAACCACACCAAAAAGGAAAATGAACCAAGTTTGACTTAAACGGATCAAAAACCGCACGTGTGCAAATACCCTTAGAGGTGCACAGGGCCGGAACCACCATACATTGATTGTGTGTGTGTGTGTGTGTGTGTGTGTGTGTGTGTGTGTGTGTGTGTGTGTGTGTGTGTGTGTGTGTGTGTGTATTTCTTTAGGTCACAAGACCATCACATTTACTAACATTAGCAAATGTTTCATGAAAACGATGCTTTTCTACAACATGCAAAAGTCACATTCAGAAAGTAGAAGACTTCCTGGGGTCTACTGATGCTAATGCAGTTCTATATGTTTTAAAATTACATCAGTGTTATGACTCCAGTGCATCACTGAAACATAATTTCTGGACTGGCCAGAAAATATTGGAAGAAATTAGTTTAACAGCTTATTTTCATAATTCAGTATCATATAGCTCACAGTCACAGTGATTTCTGTAACTATTATCTAACACATATAATGTGTTACGAAATAAATCTAAATTATCTTCAGTAAAGCTGCAGAACAACCCTGATACACATTTGTGCTCTACACTGGAATCAAAACTGGTTATAAAACCAATAAAGCCAAAAACTCCCACACTCCTCATGCCTCCTTAATTACAGGATGAAGCTGAAGCAGCACTAAGCACCTAAACCTGCATTAAGGCCATACTGAGACGAACACAGATATACAACAAGAGTACAGACAGACTCACAGATCAAAGTTAAACTAGATGATCAAATAAAAAATAAACACAAACTGCAGTACTGTGGATTTGCATCTTCTGAGCTGACTAAGATTTCTGCAGTAGCTCTTCTTTCGGTGGCACTATTCTGGGTACTGCGTTTGTCTCACAAGCCCTTCCCCGTTTCTCATTCCTTCGCTCTTCATTTCTCAGACTTACCTGCAGTAGGGAGGGAGGCCATCCGCTGTGCCTCAGGTGCTTGACTATGGAGATATGGCGGCCTAAACTGCGGTGGACCGAACAGCATTCATCACAAATCAGGACCCCTCGGTTGATACTGGTCCAGCCCGGGTCTGACAGACAGAAATACACAGAAAGCATTAGGATTTTCATAAGCACACTGTGACTGATAATTAGATTTTGGAGATTTTTAAAAATATTAAGTGCTTTCCATCCAGGCCACACGAACATACTCATAAATATCCACGATTTATGACGTGGGTGGTCCAAATTACAGTTTACTACACAACTATAATGCCATTTTTCCCAAGGAAGAGATGCAGTCTACCTACACTGCTACTCTTTTGGGCTTCAGTCAATATCAAGTCAAACATATGTGCATCTTTTTTTATAGGTCTTTTTATCTGCTTCTGAGCAAAACCACATGATGGATAAAATAAAGATGAGTACCAGACAGTGATCCTGTCACAGATATTCCAATTAAGTTTCTAAGTTTTATACATTTCTCAGCTGAATGAGCACCTGGTTTGTATTATGCACATTAAGAGTAAAGCAGGATGTATATGTCAGTAATAAATCAAAGGGCTTTTATAACTGAGAGAATTTTGAATAAAAACTGGGTTATTGAAAAGACAAGAACTAGACATTTTTAAATATTAACTCTGAAAACTGACTTAAATAATGCAGAAATGAATCATGTGAAAGCACAACTATGTGGACACAGCTACATGGTTAACACTGTTGCCTCATAGCAAGAAGGTCTGAGACTCAAATTAGCCCATCTGGCCGGAGCCTTTCTGTTTAGTTTGTATGTTCTCCCCATTGCCTATAGGTGCAAATGGTTATCTGTCTCTATATGTTAGCCCTGCGACCAGCTGGCGACCTGTCCAAGCTGGCTGTACCTCGCCTTTTTCCCTATGACCATGGGATAGGCTCCAGCCCCTCCGTGATCCTAAATTTGATGGACAGATGATTCGACATTTCCATATATCAGATAGTCTTTTTTTTTTCTTTTAGGCATATTACATATTAAAGTGATTTCCCTAACATTCATTATGTGCATGTATGTATTTACTCATTAACGCTCTCCCCGACTTTGCCCAGATCAGCTGGTGTTGCAGACTGCCCTCTGGTTGACAAACTATGCAACACTCAAAACACAGTTGAAGGGTGTTTCTCCCTTTTATCTTTTACTTTTTTATTCTCATTTATCATCTGTTATAAACGCTAAAGCCGATGAGCAAATAGTTAATACTGGCTTATAATATCAGTTTGCTTGGTCAGGCTCTGATTGCAATCAATTTTAGATATTCCTGTGAAGAACTGTGCAAGTCTGATAAGAAACAGTTATAAATAGCATTTTTACAAATATACACGTTAGCTTGCACCTTACAGTCATAAACAGCTAGGAATGAGACAAGTTGTACTTTGCTGCCACCACTAAATATTACTAGTTTATTACAATGGCTTGACAAAGAAACCTGTTTTAATACCTAAGAGAAGAAACATATCTCTAAATGGGTGCAAATGAGGTGAGGAAGTGAAGGGCAGCAGCAAAGGCCAGTGCCAGTCCAATGACACTGAAAGACTGAGTCTGGGTTATGTTTATGCCCTCAGGACCCTGACGCGATGAATGCCTCACAACTAACACAGTCTGCAGTATCAAAACAAGCATCTGCACACTTACATGCACACTGTTCACGCCCAAACGCACACACATATCTACAATGTGTGTTGGTCACACTCAGCCTGGGATAAAAACTGTCTGGGCTTAGGGTATTAATGGAGCTAAAATAGTCCATCATCAGATGAACCGGCGTGCTTTAAGTCTTTTTGCCCATAGAAAAAAAGAGGGAAAAAAAATTAATATGAAATGCAAAATGGCTTTGAAAAAAGCAATAGCTCAGTTTAGAACAGCAGCCCCGTAGGCTTTAAAGGCCTCAGCAATTTAATTCCTTAATCTGTGTAATAAATATTAAAAAAAACTCCCACAGGCTAGGCTATCTGCCTGGTCTGCTAAATCAATATGAGGCTATGCCATTAAGCTATTAGCAGTGCTGTATTGGTGAAATCTGCAGCATGTTGCTGCATAATGTTGCCTAAAGTTGGCCTAATTCATCAATCTAGTATAGCATTTGTTTTTATAAGTGTCAGCTAACCCTGCACAAAAACATATGCTACAAATGAGTGCAAGTTTTTAAAATTGTGTTACACTCCACTCTTAAACACTGAGATAACATGTTGCACACATCTGCATACTTTGGCCGTTAACGAGTTAGCTTCAGGCTTGTTTGGTGTATATCACAATATATACACAATTAATACAGTGTTTAATTGTACTAAGTGTCAGCTTGCCGGATTTACTCCATCTTACTTCTAATTTTAACCAAACACAGCAACAACAGCAAAGCCTGACAGGGACACCAACACGACATATCGACTCAACCCCGCTGTTCTCTTCTGTGAATAGTTGCACAAGAGTTTCAGTTTCCTAAACAAATGCATCTGTGCGAAATAAAGAGTTTACTATAGTGACGATGTGATTCATTGTTGCCCGTAAACTGTGCAGATTGCCATGGTGTGACATTAAAGACTCCTGAAGCTTGGCTACGAAAAGGAGTATCAGTCGTCCTTTGTAGCCATGCCATTGAGTTATCCCCCAGTATGACACAAAGCTGGGTAGTAGGGAGGTGGCCTGTCACCAGGGGCTAGGTCAGCATTTTGCAGAAAGCACTGCGTGCGTGTGTGCGTAAGTCGCAAGGAGGGGCTGCATGCAGAGAGATGATGGTTGTAGAAGAAATGCACGGCTAGTAACAGGTACGCGAACAAGCCATCTACCATTGTGAATGCCTTATTTTGTCTAGTAAATAAACTAAAGCTTTAAAATATAACTAATATGTCACAGATAATGTGCATTTAATTATTCTGCAAGTTAATATAGTATCAACGAAAGGAGTTCAGCTGGGGTTTCATCAGTATGTAAAAAGTAACTCAAGGGGAACCAGAAAAGGAAAATAGGTGCTGAAGCATGTTAGTAAGTAATAACAGCAAGGTGTACAATGCAAGGCTGGACTGCAGCATTTAGACATAGGGGTGGGTTTTTATAATCGATTCATCGATTAAAATCGATTCTGGCTTGGATAACGTAAAATCGATTCATTAAAATCCTGAATCGATTTTTTAATATAAATTTATTTTGTCCGAAATGCCAGAATCTCTGGTGACATCTCACAAAATTTCAAGAACCACCAAACAGTAAATGAGAGCAGGTACAGGGATTCTGCACATAGACTTAAACACACAGCGCGACCCGCGGATCAGAATCAGTTAGATGTCGCCTTTCTCACAGTCGGGGCTGAAAGCCGACAGCTCGCTGATCCGGGTCCGCGCTTTGTGTTCACGCCCTTTATGCGCTGATTCTAAAGCTGTTAGTTTGATCTCTCTCCAAACAATATTGATCGAACCAGCAGCAAAAGAAGATCCAAACGCTTCACATAAACATCGTCATGAATTCACTCTTTTACTGTTTTGCTTCCATTGCGATGCGCAGCTCTCTCTCTCTCCCTCCCCCTCTCTACCTCTCTCGAACAGTTTCGCTTTCTTCATTATTCGCTTGCTTGTTACGCACAAGTCTACTGTTGTTTACAGCGCTGTCGGCCGCTGTTTTTTTCCCCCTTTTACATTCTTCCGAAAAGAAAACCTCATTTCTGCTGTTCAATACTGAACAAATTTAAACTTTTTAATATTATTCAAAATGCAAAATGCTTAGCCGTGTGTCTAATAAAACCGCTGTAACGTCAGAGGTAATGTTCATTAATTAATGGTTTTCTTTCGTTTTTGATGTACTGCAGAATATTTTTATAAAATCCCAGGCCAGGAAAACCTTCATGTTTTTCTGTGTTTTATCCTCAGCTACTTTGACACAAAGGCATCTGCTGTGATGCTCACACCTTGGATAAAGTCTTGCGAGTGTCAGCTTCCTTTTTATAGATACAAAAATATGTAAATGTTCTGATCTGAATTATACTTCTGACTGTCAAACTTTCCCAGATTTAAATCGAATCGAATCGAATCGAATTAAATCGAATCGTGGATCGAATCGATTTGGGACCTTGTGAATCGGAATTGAATCGATTCTAGAAATCAGTGACGATACCCAGCCCTATTAGACAGTTAAGAGTTATCAGGGGTCGCAGCTGTCATAAGAGCAGCTGCTGCACATGTATACATGAATGAACGCAAGCAAGGCACACAAGATCACCAATGATCAAGGGGATTGAACTGAAACAGCACGTGCATTTGGGGCTACATACGAAGGGTCTTATTGACATTGTCTCTAACTCAGATTTTAACAAACACAGATGGGGCCAAAGGAGAAGTGGGTTGGAAACTAAGCTAGAATTATGGATGGCCATTGTAGTGGAAATCACTACGCCCTGAACAGTATGGATGAAAGCTAAGGCAGGTGAAGCTAGAAATTATGTCCCTTTTCCTTTAAAAACAACAACAACAACTTTGTGTTGTACTAGATTAATGGAACTGAGGTGGCTTTTAAATGATTTTGAGGTACAACTACAGGTATGGCTCATTTCAGGTTTATGTTGAACTGTGCTCCAACTTAGGATGACTGTAAACTGAATTTACTCCTATTAATTCACTATTTTATTTCTTAACTTTACTGGAGATATTCTAAAATTATCAAGTTAAACAAACAGAAACTCTAATTAAGTTTTTGATACTTTACTGTATTTTTTAAGCCAAATTGTTGTTAAAGCTACTGACTGGTCGCTGACGCTTTAGCTGAATCAGCTTGGCAATAACTTGGCGTTTAGCAAAAGTTAGCTAAAGTAGCTAACGTCATAGCTAAGCTAGCAGTATAAAAAGCACGAACTCCAAAAGCCACGGGCAAGTGCTAACAATATGATAGCTGTCCATCGATATAAATGTATTATTATATCTTAGGACATTCACTCTACCATAAATTCTTCTATCACACAGCTGCATAATGACTCAAAATCGCCAGCTCGCTAGCCAAGCTAAGCTAACGTGTTCGGAAGTCTGTCCCGGTCACGAAAATCAAAACAAACGTCTCTTCGAGTGGAAAGGCAGCATAAAGCTGACAATGGGATCTTAAACTGCCCCAAATAAACTACTCGTTCTTACATATGGCCATGGTCAAATAAATATACCTATCAAGTTATTCAATGGTTTACATTAACGTTGAGCAGCTGTTAGCTAGAGATATTCTCCCGTTGTGGCAACACGCCTATTTTTTCCAGTGTTTATTTTGGGCCTAAACGACGCTTTGCAGCCCTGGCCGTTTTCCTGCTCTGCAGACCCTCTGACAATGACAGCAACTTCGGCCTTGTTCTCCCACCACGTCGCCCCCATCGACGCATTGTTCCAGTCCCATGGTCTGTTTTCCTTTTTTTCTGTTCCTTACCTGGCGCACTGCAGTCAGCGCAGACTTCTGTTCTTTGTAGCTTTCTCGACATCTCGAAAGTGGATGAAACGAAGAGGTGGATGTCGGCGATGATGTGAATATTCGCCCGTCTTCCCCCCCCCCCCGGAGCTACAGACCGACGTCTGCCGTCAACCGATGCGGCCCCTGAATCCCCGGAAGCCGGGTGGTATGATCGGCTTTTCCCCCGGCCAGCTGACGACGACTGAGCTTCCCGTTAATTCCAGCGGTCTGTTCGCCCACGTTCGCTGATGAACTCCGAGGCTGGATCCAAGTTATGTGAACATAGTTAATCTGTTTGTATAAAGGATCTCATCTCGGAATATTGCTACAGTAAATCTGTTCCTTGCATTGCCTGCAACTCACCGAGAGACGGCAGCTCTTTACCTGACAGTATCCGCGCTCGCGCTCACTCACACGCGCTCACTCTCTCTCTCTCTCTCTCTCTCTCTCTCTCTCTCACACACACACACACACACACACACACACACACACACACACACACACACACACACACCATCCCGACAACTTAGGACAGGGAGGGACAGGGCGTGATGATAACCTTATGTTCTTAAAAGTGAGGTGGTTTCTGTAGAATGGGACTTAATCACAATCTAAAATTCATGCTGACAGAAAAGTTACTAGATGTTAATCAGATATTGGATATAAGAAACACATTGCTCCATTTAAGCAGAAGTATCGCGATCACCCAACCTTCAATGGCTGAGCAGCTTTAGCAGTCAAATGAAACATTAAAGTGCTATTGATTTATTGGATTTATCTGTTTCATTTTTCTGTCGTGTCGACATGAAAATAATGCAGAATAAGAGTAGAGGAACTGAAAAAAATCAAGAAGGTAGGCTTTCATTTCAACTTTGATGAATTTTGTCTTTTGCTGTCATGTCGTGCGCTCCCCAGCCTTCTCCACAGTACGCCCACACCTCCTTTATAACACTCCTATGCTATGTGGGCCTGGTTCACTTTAAACGCATCATTTCGATTTCTTTTTTCTTTTTCACAAGGCATGTGTTTTATCAGAGCCCTGACAGCGGATTGGCTGAGTATGCGCCCATTTCATTGCAGCTTGTCAATGCATCTTTCTCAGTCACCACCGGATGGGAGGAGAGGAGGATAGACGCGTTAGAGTAGGCAGGGGAGAAAGAGAGCGAGGAAGAGAAAGCGAGAGGAGGAGGAACGGGTAGATAAGGAATAAAGGTGTAACCCAATCTACTGACACAATCAAGGGAGGGCTTTTTCCCCCCTTATCTTTATTTCTAAATGATTTCATGGGGCTTTGGCGTTTATTCTAAGCAGAGCGAGCAGGGAGCCATTCACTGTTTCTGACGCGTAAGGTTGCCCCTACACGCCTTTGGGCATCACCGCTGATGCAGGATGATAGGATTAATTGTATAGCGTAAATCTGTGACAAAGTATTCTTGCGATCCACAGTGAAGAAAGAGGAGGAGGAGGCAAACTATGATCCGAGGATGATTTCTGCTAAGAAAACTCCGGAGAAGAGTCGTTATCCTATCCACTATCTGGTGTGGCACAACAAACACCGACAACTGGAGAAGGAGCTTGCAAGGAACGAGCAGGTGAGACGGTGAGGGGGGTGGAAAGGCGATCAAACATATTTTTTTCGTTCCATATATAGAGCTATTTTACAGGCGATTATTAGGTATGTCGATCCATAGCTGTAGATAGTGGCGGAGAAGCTGCCATCCACGGACCACCTTATTCAAGAACCTTGCCGGTATTAACGCAGTTAATTGCTATAGGGTGGAGGGTGACACTTGTGGACCGTATCGTGCTCTCGAGTCTGTGATATTTTCTTATTGCCATTCATTTTGTAAACCACAGTGTGTCACAACAGGCTATACATGTCAGGTCTGTGCTGCGCATAGGTACCGGAAATACCCAGCCTCCCTGTAATGTAAATATGTATAGGAAGTTGTGTCAGGAGTTTATTCCTGAAAAAAAAGGAAAATCAAAGTGAAACCTCATGGGGTTGAAATGTGTGTGTGTGTGTGTGTGTGTGTGTGTGTGTGTGTGTGTGTGTGTGTGTGTGTGTGTGTGTGTGTGTTTAAGCAGCTTTATTGTTATCTACTCAAAAGTGTAGGCTCTCCACCTTCCCACCAGCACCTAAACCCTTTGTGAGTGGGTGAGACAATGCAGATACTGTAGCATGTGGGCGAACAGTTGCCAGCGACCACAGTAAATACAGTAATAGAACCATTAAGATACACTATGGTCTCCAAATATGAGACATACAGTAATGGATGGATATTTGTCACAGCGGTAAAAAGGAAGGGACCAGATAACACGATAAGAATAACACGGTGTGTCATGTGAACAGATGCTTGTGAATTCAAACAAATACAGAGGAGAACTGCTTGCATCTTGCTCAAGCCATCATATTTCTACACGTGTGTGCACACATTTACGCACACTTGCCTACGCATGCACACCCTCACCTTCATGTGGTTATAAAATCATAACCTGGGGAGCCATTTCTTTAGACCAAAAATGGTCAGCTGTCAGTTCACCACAGTTCCCTGCATTTACAGTAACAGATTGTGGGAATGACATGTTACATTTAAATCCTCACCATAATAATAACTATTGCAAAACACATGGCACACCTCGCAGTTAAGAGGCTCTAAGAACAGACCTCTCATAGTCAAGTCAGGGCTAGAGGTGACATAGTCACTGCGTTTCATGCATAGAGGAGATGAAAATGAATCATGTGAGCTCTTGAGGCGGAGGAGACAAAAACTTTTCAAAACCCTGGCTGCTGGCTGAGGGCTTAATTAAAACTGGAAGGGCACTCACTCTGAGAAAGCACTCTTCATTCTTAGTCAATGCACTATCTTGCAATTTTAAAGAATCTGCTCCAAAAATGTAACAGGCCGTCAATGCTCCACTTCTTATTATGACGATTATTCAAACTCTACAGAGAAAACATACCTAGCCAAACATGTGCAGTCGAGTAGGTGTTCACTCAAAAACTGGATTAGTTGCTAACCTGGGAGAGTGTCTCATATTTTCAAATGTCAAGATTTATACATTTAAAGCAAAGGTGTGCATCTTCAGTCAGTAGCTACACTTGCAGGGTCTCTTAAACAATGAAAGTGTCAGTGGGCCATTGATTGGTCGGTTTCACACTCAGAAATGCCCTAACAAATATTGGATGGATTGTATTGGATAGACTGCGTTACACGTAAGTGCAGAGCAGTTGTTCATGGTCCCCTGAAGATGAATCTCATTGCATTAAGTATTCCTGCTAACTGGGAAACGCTGGGAAATTTAAGGTGACGCAGTGAGAATCATTACAACAACCCAGTCGCGGGAAGGACTACAAACATTTTATCCATTTCCTGAAAGAGACACATCTGCCTTTCAAGCATCTCACTGTTGTAATGTATAATAATGGAATTTCTAATGGCCAATGTCAAGCAACACAGGTAGATGCTGACCTGCTCGCACCTTTTTATGAAAGTAGCTCGCTAATGATATACCTCTAGCTTGTAATTGTGTGGATGCTTTAAGCATCCACACTATTGAGTTCCTTCTTGGTGTTTCCGTACACTTTTCACCGTGGATCTACTTCCACAATTTTCAGCCGATTTTCACCGTTCAAATTTTAAACTATTCTGCTATTTCTGCTAATAACGGCTATGTCTTTTGGTATTTTTCACTATTATACTTTTTAAAATATTAAGCTTTTTTCCTTTAATTTGAAATGAATGGGAAACTTTGCAATTCTGCTAAAATTAGCTTGTTTTTGAAACTTAACTACTTCCTCATATTTTCACGTAGAACAACATTCAAACTTTAAAATGTTCTCAAATTATTGGGCTATTCAGGTATAAATCAGCTTTTTCAAATCTTTTACCGTTTTACTTTTATGCTTCTTAAAGTTTTGAGTTGCAAAATTGTGATTTCTCACAAAATACATGCGTTGTTATTGTTGCCACTGAAGGTTTCGCAGTCTTCTCTTCATGTCCGAACAACTTCTTGCTACTTGCTCAAATTTCACTCAACTTCCACAAATTATACATCAAAACGTAGGTATTTTGCTGGCTTTCTGAAAATGTCATATCATGTTGTGGAATTTATAGAATTTTGGCAAATCTCCTCAGACCAACAGAAAGTCGGAAAACTCTCCATAGAAAGTCAATGGAGAGTTTGTTCAAAATCACCGCTTGATTTCTGTAATGAGAGGCATTTTCGAATTGTCATATCTCCTTAATCTCCTTTGTGCTAAACCAGAGTATTTGTGCTGAAACACAGTATTTCTGCCAAATGATAGTATTTGTGCTAAACCATAGTATTAATTTAAAATGACAATATTCATAGTTCATCACAGTGTCTCTGGTAAATCACAGTATTTCTGCTATGTTGTACTATTTTTCTAAATCATAGTGTTTCCGTAATGTTTAAGTATTTTTGGCTAAATATATTCTTTCTGTTATCTTATACTATCTTTCCTAAATTCTTGTATTTTTGAGAAGTTATCATGTTTCTGGTAAGTTACAATATTTCTGCTAAGTTCTGCTATGCTATTGTATTTCTGCCAAGTATTATGTTTCCTCTAAGATGTTGCAGTTCTGCTAAGTTATTCCATTTTAGCAAAGTTCCTTTGCTTCTGCAAAGTTTTTACAATTTCTGCAACTTTTCAGCTAGTTTTTGCATACAGCTTCAGCTTTAAAGCATCCACACTGCATTTTCACAGGAAATGCAAATTTTTCTAGTTATTAACTGTCTTTGCATTACTTCTGTACTTTGTGCGTCCCTCCCTCGTGCCTATAATTCGGCAACAGTAGGCAGCTCGTATAGTTTATACCATATATTATTATTGTATTTATTTTGCCACCATCTAAGTGTGTTAATGAAGTATTAAATATTAACACATTACTTTACTGTAGCTAATATTTCACATCACGGTCAGTAAACAGAAACTTCTGGCCAGGTTTGGTTTACACAGGCTCAATAAATTTGCCCTCATAGCTCCATAGTAATTCATTTTTCAGGAACTCTTGTATCCATAAATATTTTATAATGCAAATTTTTATTCCTCTTCTGCTGTGCATTGGAACCTCCTACTTTTTTTCTTTTTAAACTAATCCAACCAGATCGTCTGCTACTTGTTTTTACTGCATTAGAGCAAACAAAGTGCTAAATGTGCAAATGAACTTTAGTAAATAAGCACAGCTGATCATCTTCCAGTTGCAAGTTATTTTTATTGCACTTTATTTCAGTTACAGTACACTGGGCAATGTCTACCAACTGTCATTATGCACCCTAGGTGTATATGAAATTTAAAACAGTGGTAAGATTACAGTCTGTTTTCTCTCCTTGCTTATATTAGAATATAACTTTAAAGATATTTCCAAGAACATAATGATTTTTTTCCCACATATTCCTTGCATTTTCCCTGCCAGCACCAGGTGTGTTTTCTCAGAGTCTAAAGCTCAACGTGTATGTGGTGACAGGTCGCAAACTACAGCAAAATGTCTCTTCATGTGATTGTATGCTCATGTGGATTATGTTATACAATCCTGCAAACCTTTTCCTCGTTTTATAAACCAATGTCAGCTTTAAGAATTAGCATTATATCCATGAACTCATTTGTGATGCATTACTTGGTATGCTTTATACAATCAACTCCTAGAACCCAGTTGCAGTACTTGTGTTGCCGCCTAAACTAGGACAGCCTGCATGCAGCAAGCTTGGACTCTCAGCTTCTAGCAGTCACAAACCTGTGAAACACTCAAGCGAGCACATTAGTGATGTTGATCTCAGGTGTCGGGAAGTATTCTAGATAGCTGTGGCACTTCCACGGGAGGGGACAAAACAGGACTTTTAAAAATTTTGTCTTTTTTTGTAATAACTGCAGACAGCGATGGAGGTTGAATACTTCAAGTTAACTTTATATTCATTTTTCCCAAACTTCTAAAATCCCTGCCTGAGTAAACTTGAGCCCAAGGTTGCCTAGTCTGTCCGAGACCTACTTGGCCTGCCCTGCTGCTCAAAAGCAGGACACTGTTTGAGATTTATTGGCGTGAACTTTGATTTCCATGCTCAGATATGGAATATTGTTGAAGTGAAAATCAAGGCCACTAACCTACTTTTGCTCACTGGCCTAGTGTGATAGTTTCCAGCTAGGGCAACCAAATGAGAGGAAACACAGAGGAGGAAACATAAGTGTTTGACCAAAAAAAAAAAAAAAAAGTGTGAATGTAAAGATATAGGTAGTAGGTTAAATCTTGTATGCACTGCACTTTGGAGAGCAGATCTGCTGAAAACCAATTTTATACAGTAACTTTCTCACACTGTAGTAGCGGGCTCTAGCTGCAGTAAGCCACCAGAAATTGCCGGAATGATTGCGGATTTCAAGATTTGTGTGTGTGACATCAGACAGATAACAAAAAAATAATATACCTTGGTCAAACATGCATGATAAACCCAATGATTCTTAAGAGGCGTGCTAAAGAATATTAGAGGCATAAGCATATTCCCAGTTCTCATAGTGTCATATGAGAGGAATTAAAATGATACGGCCCAGATAACAAAGACAGTATTTTGCAGAACA